CTTCCTACCTCTCCCTAACAGAAGATGACAACGCTTCTTTTGCAAGTGCCAGAAAGAAGAAAACCCAATCTCTTATATACACAGGGAACAAACGTAAAAGTGCCCTTCACTTGCCACCTACGTACTATGAAGACTAAATATAAGACAATCAGGGGGGGAAAAACCAACAGCTGAAGTGTCAAAGAGAAATCCAGAGCATCTCGTGGTCCTGCAGTCCTTCAACAGCTAAGAAATACAGGTACCCCAGCTGGTGACCCAACTCTAGAACTTCTGCATTTTCTCTTCTGAATGCTACCCAGAGACTTTCTCAAGGGTGTTATCTCAGCCACAGCACATGCTGGGAACATCTCCAGTGCACCTGAAATTAGAACTGGCTCACATACAGGATAAACTGAGAGAGACTCCAAATTAAAAGCCAGGTGAGGCAGGTGACTCTTCAGCAAGGGTGATGCCCAGCACTGTACAAAGATGACTGCATAGGGAAGGACTAACTGCAGCTCAAGAACTTAAGTCTTGTTCTGGTATTCTCCACAAAGCTGAAAACCACCTTCACAAAACCTATCTACACTGGAAAAAGGAGCCTTTTTCTTCTCAAGGCAGAATTATCCATTGTCATTAACAATGGGTCAGAAAGTTGTCAATAACTTCAAGAAAGTATTTAACACCCAGCATCCAAGAAACACCTGATTATAATGACTCCGTACTTACTTTTTAGGAGAAAAAATTAAAATCACTGACTGCAAGTTGCATTTATATCATCTGCTGGCAATGGCCTGCAGCATCACAAAGTAGTCACAAAATTAAGAGCAGGCTTAATTCACTGAAAAAAGCAGCTCCTGCTTATCCCTGAGATGGGAGTACAGACTTATCCAAACATGTAACTCAGCTGCTCATAGTATAGCAGATATAAAACAGAGAACAAAGTGGGGGTTAAGCGAAAAGTAAAATGTGATAATATTGTGCCTAACTGCAAAGGTTGGCTTGCCAAGGTGTGACCTTTTATGTGTAGAGGAATATATTTTAACTTCATCTTCTGAAGTAAGCCACATATTTATGTATAATATTTATATTATTAGCAGCTTTTAAAATAATTAAACTAAGAGAACAAATCACTAACAGTGGATGTTAAAGATTTTTCCTAATTTCTTGTCTGAAGAGAGTTATGTCAAATAGTAATAACACTTTTCATCAAATCGCTTAAAGATTAAAGGGTTTTCTGAAATTTCATTAATTTTTCTACATGTATGTACCCTTTGCTAAGGGGATAAAAAGCAGGTAGCATGTTCCTTTGAACATGCCTCGTGATTGCTTTTGAAATCAAGCAATAACTCACATCTGAGGGTGTAAAAGTCCGCAACTTATGTTCTCAAGCTGACATATTTTCAGTCCAATATTCTATTGAACCTTTTTGTGCAGATTTGAATAATGAAGATTTGGAGAAGTAGAGAACTTCTCTACTTCTATGTGTGTGTATATATATATATATGTATGTGTATATATATACATATCTCACCGGTAAACACATCTGTATGCTCTTTCGATCTTGTATCAGGTCATTTGCACTAGCAAGAGAGATTCATAGATGAATGTATTTCACAGCCTATTTAAACACATTTCAGAATGTACAGGATGAATGTAATTGGCTGCTAAACATTGAACTCCAAAAAGCAAAAGAAACTCAGAAACTCCAGGCATTTGCATAATCTCATTACTGTTACTGACCATTAATATGTTACAGTGACTGCATTTTATCCATGATATATATATGGGGAGCATTACAGATTTCTAAGTCATGACTTGTATTTATTAATTAAAATAATATCCAGTAGTTACTTTGTATTGCTTTTAGAAAAAGAAAAACCTAGTGTGCAACTAGTTCAAGCACTCAGTCTTGCAATGCCACTGCCAGAAGGTATCTTTGATGGAACACAACAAAAGAATCCAAGAGCCCATACAATTGGCAGCACTTGGAACATCCTCTGTAAGAAGTGTTGGAAGGGACCTCCAGACGTCATCTGGTCCAACCCCCGTGTTCCAGCAGGGCCCCCTTTGGCCGGTTGCCCAGGACCATGTCCAGATGGCTTTGGAATATTTCCAGGATGGAGACTCCACAACCTCCCTGGGCAACCTAGGCAGGCACTTGGTCACTTCCCTGGGCAACCTGTGCAGATGCTCAGTCACCTTCACAAGTAATGACATGAGAAGGTGACAGAAACTAACTGCATGTGCCATAGGGATGGTTGGATTTTACAGATGGTTTTGGGAGAAATTCTATGAGGCCTGATTGTTTCTCACAAATAACTGAAAGAATATATTTGGGACCTTTAGGGAAACACAATCTTGCAAGGGCCGACAACACCGAGGCGATTCTACACAAACCTGAGCCTACTTAAGACACAACATCAGAAATACCAAATTTGGGTAGGGATGTAGCAAAACTGGGATCAATGGAAAAAAAGTAATCAGAGCTGGTTGATTTGTTTGAGAGGGAGTGAGCCTGGTAAAGGGGAAGAAAAGGAGATGGGAAAAGAGGAAGGAAAGGGGATCTAAAGTGTAGCTAATCACCAGGATCAGGGATATTTATAGTCCATGTCAGACAGCCCTGCACCTGACTGCAGTAGTTTCAGAAGGGCAATAAACCTTCTCTTTCCAGTATTGGTTGATCTGCTTCCATGGCCAGGAGGGACCTAGTGTCTTCTCTTGTGTTGTGTGGAAGAAGGCTGGGAGCTTTCCTCCCGACACCTGCCAGGAATGCCTGGGGAGGACACCTAACATAGCTGCCCTCCACAGCTTCCTGAAATCCATACCATTCTATATCAAAATTACACTGGCAAATAAATCAATTAATCAAAAGATGAAGTCAGATGCCAGGTTAATGCCCTTAAACCGTTTAAAACAAGACCATAATCACGGATACCACTTTTTAATAATCATACTATTGAAAAGTGAAATAAATTATAAAGGGTCCTCATGATAGCTTTTTATTGATTTTGTACAATCTGTTTACAGATCTGTTCCAAAAAAACCCTATTATAGGGCAGACATAGGAAACTCAAAAGCATTTTGCTGTTTCAGGTGCTTGTCTTCTTGTAAAGAAAGTTTCATACATCACACCTCTCTGCATGCTCAGAAACAGTATGGTTTTATCATGCATAGCAAAGACCGAAACAAAGAGCACAAAGCTGACTTTTGCAGAAGAGCTGTACTGCTTCATGGTATTTTCCCTCAGGAAAGCTATATCTGGTATATATTCTCAGTTTTATGATTCTTAGCCTGTGTGCAGCTCCTTTTTTACAGTAAAATTAAAAGTATTCAATGATTTTGGTGTCTGGGAACAAAAGCAAGACACATTTCTTTACAGTAGGTGTTAAGTGAGAAATCTGAGTAAACCAACAGTTGCATTTGGCATCACTTTAATTAAAAACAAAACCTTAAAAAAAAAGGCAATCAAGTATATTTTAAAGCTACAAGCTCCCGCTACTGTTGCTTGCTTTTCATTTTGTCAGTGTACTTCCAAAGAAAACTACATCCACTGTGATGCTGTTAGGATAAATAATTAATACTTCTCTGAAACCACTGGAGATCCTGTTTTTGCCAAGACAGTGGTCTGCACAGTCCCAGGAAGAAAATTGTTGTTACAAACACTAGGTAAGTGGAAAGAACTGATGCACCTGCCTGCTCATTGCACTTGCCACTGTTTTCCATTATTCAATGTTCTGCTGCAGGAGAAAGAATGAGTTTAGACTTTTTTGTAAAAAAGAAAAGATGTAATGTGGAACTTCACTCAGAAGTAACAATAAGCAAAGAGGTTCTTGCATTTCCCTTTCTCAAGTTGCTCAACTGGTAAATTGCACTGTCTCCTGCCACAGCTTTCACAGGGCCCCATCCTCAGCCATGTCAGTAAAGGGTTTGTGATTTCAGAGTAAAAGTAAGATAAAATTGAAAGAAAACGACTCTGGGTCTCCTGGCCAATTAACTGCTATGCCAAGAGCTGAGTAAAAATCTTGGAACTGTGTGAGGAATTATCTGACAATGACACAAAAAACCCCCCAACTACTGAGCAGTGATTTTCATGACTTCCCTTGCCTTCTCCATTAGAGTGATGCAATTAAAATGAACTTACTGAGCCATGGGGATGCAAAAGGCAAGTTATGTTTTCTGAAGCAAGGTCACACTGAAGAAAAATTAAGACGTCATTATTTTCAAGACAAGATTGTATTTAATTGGGCCCTAGGTTTCCTGAACCAAGAATTCTATCCCCCTGCTTACTGTCTGAAGTCAACCCTGCTAGCAGAGAGATCATTTTGTCCAAGTACCATTTCTGCTGGATATATAAACCTCCTCTGATCATTAAGCCTTATTTAGAGCACACGACTCTTATCTTAGGCTGTAAAGAGAAATGACAGTATTGACACTGACAAAACTGATCTCAAAGTCCTGAGATTCAACATGGGAAAGGCTGTAAAAACGTGGATCACTTGGACTGATTGAGAAAGTGGTCTAAGCTGACAGCAAATAACCCCATCAGTAAACACGTTTTTACTCTCTGAAACTTCCTTTTCTTTTAAATGAAATCTGCCATAAGATCTGATAAAAAGATTGGATATTTTAACGTGCAGAAATCTGGCTCATCAGTTTTAGAGTCTAAAGACTGCTGACCAACAAACGTATTTATGGAATGGAAACTAAGCTGTTGTACCTGTAAGTTATGAAACAAGATTATTTATATAATGCACAAAAAACCACAGTGACGAAAACTAGATTCTTACTATGAGTAAATCAAAAACAAAAATGCATCTCTTCTACATCCTGGTGAAGCACTCAGCTCCTGGAGATAACAGTCCCAGGTGAGATGAAAAATAACTATAGCAATAACAGCTCTATTAGTGCTGCCAAAGTATGGATGAAATAAAACCAGCACCCACACACTGAAACATCCTCATCTCTGCATCAACATCCTTTCACAATGAAGTTAAAGCTGAAGCAGGAATGGAACTTACCATCAACAACACCCTCCTGAAAAGGTCAGTATCCGCTGTCTCTGTGAGCAGGTGAATGCTGGTGACATCTGCCCCACCACGGTCAGCTCCCAAAGAAACCCTGCTGGGGTCTCCTCCAAAGCCAGCAATGTTCTGCTGCACCCACTTCAAAGCTGCCAGTTGATCCAAAAGTCCAGCATTCCCACTCGCCTCAGCAGAACCTGTTGTAGAAAATAAAACGGTGCTGAAAAGAAATAAAACTATAAACCTTTGAAGTTTTGACTAAATGTCACATTTTTAGCAGCTCCTGAAGCTGAACTTGGACAAAACTGTTACCATAAGTTAAAAGTCTAAAGTGGTCTCTTCCAAGGTTATCACTTTACAGACTGACTCCATTTCAGTTTTTACCACTCTACCAGGCAGCCCTGGAGGTGCCTCCCTGATGATAGAAAAATAACACTCCAACTTCTAAGCTTCATTAGGACACATCATGGCAGGAGACTTGAACACAGGCTCAGGTATCCACAAATTTAGCCATAAGATTCTTTTTCTACGTAAGTAGCTCGATCTTAGAATGAATTAAAAGCACACAAAAAAATCCGTGTGTTTTCCAGATTCTTGAGTTGGAAGGGACCCATAAAGATCATTGACTGTTTCCCTGGAGTGCACCTAATTGCATGTTTCCTTCCTACATCCCTTTTATACACTTACCCTGTCTGACCAAACATTATAAGTCATAACATCTTGGATTTCTTTACATGCTTCCAGACATTATTTTAAAATGCATATCTCCATCTATATCCTCTGAGATTATCCCATGTCTAACTGATGGAAATCTGATATATATATATATATATCAGAAATATGAATATATAAATACTCATATTTTTGTTAACATGGAAACAAATAATTAATCATGTATTTCACATGCCTAAGTACCAACACTTACTTTTCAACCTCAACAAGTGGTAACCTGATACTTTGATTAATAGGAAACTAATGCTGAAAGCATCTAATGATGCAACCCCCTAGGTAAGGTTAATTTTATATCAACAAAAGCAGAAATAAGTAATTCCTCCACGATCTGTAAGAAAGGAATAGAAAATGATTATTCACTGTCTACTTCTTTATAATCCACAATGAGCCATTTATTTTTAAAGTTTTAAAATTCTCCACATTTAAAACTTGGAGAAAAAAGTCCCACAGGGCAAGACAAAAAAGCCATGAATAGAAAAACAGATGAAACTATTTGTTTCTTCCATTGCCAAGACAAAATAGTACAATTTTAAACTAAGGGTAGGTTCAGAAACTAGTGAATCAAAATCAACAGAGAGTGGAATAAAAAGCTGCCACTTTGTGGAGATGTAGCCCTGTCTTGGGCAAAGAGCAATTGAAAGTTTACATCCTGTGGTAGATATCAATATGCTTACTGTAATGAATTACTGAAGTGTCAAACATACCAGTTTAAGTAGCAGAATAAATACAAAGGAGAACAGATTACTGGTAGCCTTGCAGGGTTTAGAGATACCCACATCATAACAGGCATCACTGTAAGCACCCTTCCAGTAGGGCAGCCAAAAACTAAGTGGAGCAAAAACCAAAAAAAACACAATCTTCCATCTATAGCCATAGTTTCAGATGAACAGTCCAAGCCATACCAGTGAAGCAATGGAGAAAAAGCTTTCCCTGGTCAGTATTTGGGGTTTGTTTTGGTTTAGTTTTAGTTTTTTTCTGCACACCACGACCAGTTCCCAGGGTCCTCAATCCAACAATAAACCCACTCTGTGCTGTTGAAAAGGCAATCTCATTTTAAGGACTTGCTGCATCCCTTGTGAGACATCCCCAGAGGAAGTGAAATCATAGAATCACTTAGGTTGGAAGAGACCCCTAAGATCATCAAATCCAAGTGTTAACCTCCAGGTCCATCACTAAACCACGTCCCCAAGTGCCACAGCTACAAATCTTTTAAATGGTGACTTCACCACTGCCCTGAATTGCCTGTTCCAGTGCTCGACAATCCTTTTGGTGAAGAAATTTTTATACGTAAATCCATGTAGATGTTTTAGCCACACAATTATTATATATATATATATAATATACATTTGTTTAAAATACCACCAATACATGAAACAAAAAGTTCTAAGAGGGAAATATAACCAGTTCCTTTTGCCCTGGCAAAAACCACAACCAGGTTGTGAAATGTACCACACTGGAGAACAGTGGACATTCACAGGAGTTAGACCAAAAGAAACATGTCTGCCAGGAATCTTTTCCACTGCCTTTTTGTAGGAAAAGATTGCATTCCTGAGAACCACAGGAGACTGAAAAGAAACCAGTGTCTTTGTTTGCTTCCTTCTGAACATACAGATGCATTTCTGTTATTACCAAATGGGAGAAGAACAATAGTGCTAAACAAAAGCATGACAATCATTCTGTTTTATATGATTTAATGGAATCTTAAAAGAATCAAACCCAAAAACATGACTGTCTTCTCCATATCCTTGCCATCTGTATCAATGGCAATTCACCTTAATTTTTCTAGATGCAAAGCAAGAGGTAAAGGCACTAGTAAGAATGTGCATCTTCTTTTGTAACATCAATGAGTGACAGCAAATTAAATTAAACACCCTTTGTATGAAGAAGAAAAAGAGCTCTTTCAGTTCTTGAAAAAGCCCTGCCATTGAGATCAGAACAGCTACAGAACTAACAAAAATCCCAACCAAACAAAAGGAAATCTGTTGTTTTCACTGTTCTTCAGTTCCTTAAATATCCATTCGATTTCTTCATTTCTAGTTTTGCAATTTATAACAAGTCAACTTAAGAGGATTCAGCACTTTGCTTAGTTGGACAATGAAATTAATATTACTCACAAGTTCATAACTTTTATTTCTAATTGTAGAGTGTTCTAACAGTCCTGCTGCTAATGTTCCCACAGTCCTAAGGGCGAGCTCCTGCCTCCCTTGAAACTAATGGCTAAACTTCCAAAGGACCAGGATTTGTCTTTCATGAAGAATGAAAAACATCCCTGGAATATCATTAAGGATTTGTTTGAGAAAAATCCTTGTATTACTTGACCCAGACTGCTAACATTCATTGAAAATCCCCAGTGGCTACTGTCATGTGCAGGAGGATTCAAAGATGCTCTATCGACCTGTGGGGGACCAGAATGGGTATGACTGAAAATCCCTGCTGCTGGGAACCCTGATACAAACACACACACTTTATTACCCCCACCCCATGGAGTAAAGGCAACATAGGGGAGATAGCATGTGATACTGAAGGAATTTTTAAGGTTTCCCATGAATATGGAGCTTAGCTTGCTGTTTGGACAACACTCTGATACATGATGTGATTCTTGGGGTTGTCCTGTGCAGGGCCAGGAGTTGAAATCTGATGTTCCTTGTAGGTCCCTTCCAACTCAGGATATTCTATGATTCTAGGATACTAGGATTTTCCTAAATGCACACCAAGGACTTCTCAAAGAGGATGAGGCCAGCAAAGACTGCACTTTTCTTTGGCCACAGCTCCACCATACAAATGAGGAAAAGGTCCCCAGATAGTCCCAAAATGTAATGAACCACCTCTATCTGAAGGTTTGCAGGAATGCCAATCAGGTACAGCAAGCCCATGTCTTGACATTTTGGGACATGTAAGCAGATCCTTACGAAAAAGAGACTGAATAATTTTCCTGATCCCGAAATTACGGACCATCACATAAATACTGGTGTATAATATTCAGCCCCTCCAGCAGTTTCTGTTTAGGAAGAAACCTGGGTGAGGTTCACTGGGCTGAAGGAGGTTAGTGGGTAATGTGTGGGCACTGCTGCGTAATGGAAGCTCCCACGGCACATATCCACACTGCATTTGGCTCTAGACAAAATTAAATTATGGTATCGCTTTCATAAACATCAGGTTTGCACTGATGAAAACAGCGATTTTTTTTTTCCTCACAGATACACCTATAGCCAATTTCTTATCTAAATGAGTAAGGAGCTTTAGTGCCAGATTTCGATACTGAATGAAAGATGGGCTTTGCTGGGAGTGAGCTTTGAACAAAATAGTGAATAGAGAAGGGACAAAATAACCAATAACTGCAGTTATAACCCCAAACTGGGCAAAATCTACCCAGCAGTGAACACTTAAAAGAATCATGATGCAAAGTATGTAGGTCTGGTAATTGCAAACATGGCAAATATAACCTCCTAAAGGTTATAAAGGTATTAAAATGCCCACAAAGAAGACCAAGAATTGCTACAAGACCAATGGAAACAGAGCTCCACTTGGAACTGTTGCATTTTTTCTCCACGTCTCTCTACCTTAGTTCCCCTGCCCCAGGTAGAAGTGAAAGATGGTATAAAGAAAAGTATTCTCTATTTGCTTAAACAGGTAAATCTAATAAAAGTCAAAATGAAAAAAAAAAAAGAAAAAAAAAACAATCCCAAAGAGCAGATGGCACTACCACAAAGGTTTAGGGAGATCCAATGTACATTTTCATGTGTATGTGCCTCTTTGTGATGGGAATTTGTATAATTTTCAATAGCAATTGATATTAGGGGGCAATAGGAGAGCAAAAGTGTCCTTTACACTAGAGTATGGGGAAGAGTTGCAAACACAGAACATGCAGTTAGCATGGAGGGCTAACAGATTCAAATTAAATGTGGCAAGTCCTTCAGAGGAGAAGTCAAGCTGAACTGCTGAGGAACTAACCATCTTTGTGCCATACTTCCATCCTTTCGCATTCTTCTTACCATGAACCTGCAGTTATTCCTCTCTGCCTCTTCCCCACTCTGACATGGGCATAACAGAGCATCAGCAAAATTTTATGGATGGAACAATTTGGAAGTTGGAGTCATTGAAAACCATACCCGCAACGGTAGGCCACTGGGATTAGCAGGAATTTTGATGCCTAACCTATCTTCATGTATGTCTGCAAAACCCAATATCCACAGTTGCATTTGCAAACAGAAGTCTAGCCAGGGCTTTGATACGGATGCTTGAGTTTGGTTTGTTGTCCCTTTGCCTCCAACCCTTCCCCTTTCTCTTCAGATCTAGTCACCACCATTTCTTGACCATTTTTCTTTTCAAAAAAAAAGAAAAAAAACAAATCAGTGAAATATATGGGTTTCTCAAGTTAAAAAACTACTTTAAAAAAAAAAAATCAGAAGCAGAAGTGTTACAGAATGCAATTTATCCCATAGCTGTGTTTGTTCTGGAAATCCATGACTTACCAGTACTAAGGAAGCCAAAGACACCGACCCGGTAGTTTGCAGTCACGACAATGACGTTACCGATGGCAGCGAGGTAGGATCCATCTAGGGTTGTCTTTCCCTCCTCAGCACTGTAACTCCCTCCATTGTGGAAGAACAGCAACACAGACATATTTTTGACCTGCCATGACAACAACCTGGTTACTATTCCTGTAGCCAACTGCTTTTGTCAATCACTGATGAGAACACAAGCATCTTCCCCATTAACATTATCTAAGCCATTTATAGCTCTTTATGAGTGACCATAATGAGGGGGTATCTGGCTATCTGTCTGGAATTCAATGGCTATTGTCCATAATTGTCCACAAATTGTCCACAATTACCTATATACCATTAAAGAGGGCACTCTGTCCAGTATAAGGTGGATCTAATAGCATCATTGTGTTCCACCAGTCAATATCTCCTCTAGGTTAGCCCAAGGCAGCTCCTCTTGCCTTGGCCACTGAGCATGTGGTGGGCTTATCTTTGCTAAAGCATACCTGCTTCACACAAACATTCAGGAAAAGTTCAAACAAGAGGGAAACAGGAGAAGGGCTGCAGCCAGGCAGGAGACCTCAGCACATACCAGCAGGTTACAGTTCTACCAAGATGACAGTCTAAAGAAATACCCTCAGTGAAACATACGGAGGGGTTTTGTTTGAGTTTTTGCCTTTTTTTTTCTTTCCTGCTGAATAAAGCAGAATAACTTGCTCCAATGCTAGAAAGGTTTTTTCAAAGTGTAACCCCAATTTTCCATTTAGCACTTTCATCCCCTATTGCCCACTTTGGGACTATCCTGAAGGAGGCTTCTCTCTCCTCTGCTCAGCAGCAGGTTACACACCCCCACCGTCCCACTTTCTGCATTGGCAGCTGGCGGTGTTTTCTGAAGAAGAGCTGGTGACCCCTGCAGCAGCATCAAAGTGCATCTGGGGTTGGTTTTCCCTGCAGTTAGAGGGCAATGAGCTCTGCTGCTGTTATTTTCTGGATGGAGCTTAGCTAAACACAGCAGCGCCATCTGTTCTGGCAAAGGGTGTCTCCAGCAAAAACATGATTGGCTGTATAGGAGAAGCAGCATCCTGAAAAATTATGGAATAGAAGGCAAACACCCCTCAGCTGCCCTTAATTTTTCACAGCTGTGCACACTCCTCATTTATCTATCTGGTGAATCACTTCAGGGGCTTCTTGTGAACATGACAATGTTACCAAGAAAACCCAAGAAATTGCAAGCACTGAGACTTGCTGCTTTTTCTCATTAACTTCTCCGAATTGAAATTGCCTAATTTGCAGTACCTTGTCTGTGGTTCCCATTTCTGCACTGCACGCAGCACAGAGAGAGATGGAGGTAAAGAAAAAATGAAATAATGTGTTTTCACATGGAAACTCATTCTGAAATACAACCACATAGAGCCATGTCAGCTAAAACAGTATTAACCATCATATTGAGCCTGCTCCATCCCCTCAGTTCACCATGGTTAAGCCTGAGGTTCACACTAAGCATTTCACATGTGTCCACAGCCTCTGTAGCACCATGCCCCCCAGCTGCCCTGTAAATTGCATATTACATTATTCTGAGTGACTTTACCCAATGCTATAGTGATGAAAAGCTTAAGAAATGTTAAGTCAGGCAAAAAAATTTTGAAATGGCAAACCAAAGCCATTTGCAACAGCTGCAACAGATATGGAGTAATTCAGGGGAAGATTTAGCACCGGGACTGTGCACAGTGCCAAGTGTATGGATGTAGCATTCCCATATCTAGTCTGCATCCAGCAATGGGAAGCCCAGCAGCTCCATCATAGTCTCATGACTGCAAGGTCTTAGGTCCCATGTGAAAACCCTAACAGGAGAATGAAGTTCAGCAGCACCAGGAAGTCTGAAAGGCTTCATAATATTCGGAACCATCTTCTCTATCACAGAATCACAGAATGGGTAATGTTGGAAGGGACAACCGGTGGGGTTATCTGGTCCAACCCTCCCTGCTCATCCTTCTGTAAAAAACACTTGGCAGGGATCGATTTAAACTCTACCAAGCCAGGCAACCTACAGTGCTTTTACTACTGCAAAATATTGTTCAGTAAATAATTGAGTGCAATGGGGATGATGCACTAAGGATGGGAATAACATGTGCAGGGGATGGGGTAGGAGGAGAGAGGGTACACTTTCTATTCCTATTTAGTGGAGATTTTAAAATCATGATTGTACAATTAAACTCTTCTTAAATTAAGGCAAAGCACAGCTTTGCTTTGCTAGTGTGACAGGTGGTGATGATTACGGATGGAAAAAATCAGAAGTGCCAGTTTAATTGTGGTACTTGTAGCTACAGAAGCAAAATGAAGTGATGTCATTCACCTTCTTCACTGATTGATACTTTGAGAGTCCTTTGGCAACAGGCATCAGTCCCTGCACTGTGCTCTTGTTGAGGCTCAAAATGCTCCTGAATGACCTCTGCATTCACTGCTTTTCAAGAGATTTTATATTCAATATTTACTAGCTGATTTAACCTTCCATGGGCTGAAAATACATAACTATAGTTCTCTGTGAGTAAAAAATAGAGCTCACCACAAAAAGAGACAGGAAAATGCAATGCTTTCTGCTCCCAACTACTTCTGCAAAACCAGAAGTTTTAGTTCTCTCTTGGGCTGGACTTCTACATGTGAAACTGATTGACTTGATTGGATCTACTTCTACTTTACACCTCTACAAAAGAGGGATTCAGCTCACAGGACCCCCAGGAGAAGAGACAAGCCTATTTAGTCTATCAGATGGTAGAAAATACAATGCTTTCAAAAAACTATTTTGAAAGCAGCTCTTAAGCATAGATGGCAAACTGCCTGGGACAGTGACCTGATGGTTTCAATAAGCGGTGACTGCACTTGAGGCAAAATGACAGTCTGATGCTGCAGGGAGAAGACAGACTGCTGGTCTCTCTGATGATTAAAACGGGCCTGCAAGGCACTCTCTGTGCTGCTGTCAGATAGCTAGACCAGCTCTTTCCAGACATGAAGTATGACAGACTTATAAATTTCTACTATAACTACCATCACCTTCTGAAAATTTCCAGTACTGTGGAAAGAAACAGTTCCTGTCTCTGAGCCCGCTCTTCAATGAGATTCATATGTTATTCAGCAGCTTTATCCCCAGCCCCCCAGGGACTGGCCAATCATTTTAGCTTGGCTTTAACTTGAAGCTTTCTTTTATATCTTTTAGAATGAGAAAATCAAGAACTTTCAAATGACGATTCCTCACATTGTACCAGTGGCCCAGTCATTTTTGAAACGTCTATTTTTATGCTCTGTGAGCTATCCACAAATCTAGCATTGCTTTGCCACTCTCATTCCTCAACAGATCTCCCACAAATGTCAACAGGGGAACAGTAAATATGAGGGTGAAAGAAAACCATCAGCAGCTCCCTGACTGGTGGCAAGTGTTGATGTATTGTCTCACGTTATTGTCTGCTGGACAGTTGATCTCATTGCAGGAACATTGCCATTTCTATCCCTAATTTCTCCACCTTTGCCCCCACCTTCTTCTTGTCCTTTGTTTCTCTCTTTGTCTGTCTCTTTTTTCTAGCTTTTTAGTACGCTTTCCTCCTGGTTACCCAACACGGCTCATGGAAAGTCTGCAGGGAATACTCTTGCACTAGTAAAAACACTAGAGTGCCTAATTTAACTTTGCAGGTTCTGTGAACACAGGAAAAACAAGCACTCATGTCAGTTAAATTACTTTGAAAAAAGACAGTGCTCAGCTAAAAAAAAAATTCTACTTGTCTCCTACTTACAGAGGTGGCAGGAACAAAGATGTTCAGATACAGGCAGTCTTCACTGACAGACTGTGGTGGGGCCTCTCCATCTCCTGGTTGCCAACACGCTGCCCTAGAGACACCAATTGAGAAAGCTACAATAAAAAGGCTTGTACTCTTTTTCCACTGGTGTTATTTCCTTATATTTTGATGCATTAGCTTAATAAAATCATTAAATCTGCAGATCTCAATCACATTTAAAACTGTGCCCACCTATATTTTAGTAACAGGTATGTAGATTTGTACACACATACACAGTGCAATGTATTTGTATGTCAAGAGTCCTTCCTCAGAAATCCTGTCCCATTTTAAAAAGCTAAGAACTTGACAATATGTTTTCAAAAAACTCACGCTTTACATAAACTGCACAAAATTATCACCAGCTGCAAGGGGAGCAGAGCTGGGGGTCTCAGGCACAGATCTCCCCTGCTACTGCCTGCACAACTATATAATCCACTCTTTTGATGAAATGTCAGTTATTTATTTTAATTTCTAATAGTCTGTGGGCTACATATATTTTGATTAATTTTCTAATGGTCTGTGGGCTCCATTTCTTTATGTTTAATTTATTTTCTAATGGTCTGTGGGAAAATACAGTAAGTTTAAAATTTTAATGCATTTTTAAAATCTCTTTGCTTTAAGTAGCAAAGCAGACCATTAACAACGCCAATCAATGTTAAAAGTGACCTTGTAACAGAAGTTCAGGAGCCAAACACGTACAGAAAACCATTCTCTGGCCATCATCTGAATGAGAGTCATATGCTCAAGCATATCAAGTATAAGAATCAAGTGGATGAATTTTGCAGTTCAGTAATAAGCTACTTTGAAGCCAGTTCCTTCTACTTTACAGCCATATTTGTATCAGACAATGAGTTATGGAAAAACATCACAATTTATTAGAGAAAAAGCAAAAAGAGGCTAAGGAAAGATGGTAATATTTCAGAGAATTGTTTCTAAATTATTTTAATACCTTTGTAAAATTTTACCTTGAAGGTGTGAAGAAATTAATAGAAAACCACAAAGAAAAGGACCAGATTTAATGGAATTCTACAATTTTTTTCCATAAGGGAGATTCCTAAGATGGTGATATCACTCAACAGCTTTCCCACTGACATAGAGAATCACATCATCTCCAACCAAAACTGCTAAAGCCATTTTAGGCAGAGAAAATATGAATTCCCAGGTAGGAATCCTGCCAGGACAACAGGTCTAACACTACTAATCATACAGCTTTTCCACAGGGCAGCAGGAATCATCACCCATGATCACAGCTTTTTTTTTGTCCAGCTCCCAGAAGCTCTTCATGCTGGGACCGACTCCAGGGAAAGGCTGCCACCTGCCGAGGCAAGTCCACAGCTCTTCCAGCAGCTGGAGACTTCAATAGCTGGATGGGGGTTTTAGTTGGGTTGGGTTGGGTTGGGTTTTTTTAAGTCTTTTATCAGGTCCAGGGTGATAAATAAATGTTTCTCTTCCATCACTAATAGTACTGTGCTCTTATGAGTTTATTATATACAAGTATTGAGCGACATTATTATAGAATCCTAAAAAAATCAACACTTTCTATACATACAGAGAGTGAGGTCTCTCCTATTCTCCAAGTGAAAAGTCAAATAATTATGTTTTTAACTGGTCTACTCTGGCCTCCAATTGGGAGGTCTGGAGACACACTATCTTTAACGCTGCTGATGCTTTTGAGAAAGGACGCAGGATCACTCTTGAGGAGAAAAGACAACACAGAAAGAATTGTGTCTTGCAGAATATACCACCTAAAGAGTCTTTCTGCTGTGCCTTTTGCAACTGGACGTGTCTATCACATATTGGCCTTTTTAACCACCAGCATGCTTGTAACAAACGTGGGTAGAGCCCTCCCCAAATCTTCATTAGCAAAGCCTGGCCATGATAACCTTAAATTAATAATAGAAGATAATGGCCAAATTCTTCATTGGACTAAGAAAGCACTGTGAATTCAAAAGATAGGAACAGATTAACTAAGGTCCCTAAATTTGTTTTCAAAACCAGCCAGGCTGCTCATTGCAACACCAGGTCTTCAAAGGGAGACCACAGAGGCAGATAGGTCTCACCAAAGCCCTACAGACACCACACTGTGGCTGCGGACACCAAGAGCTCGTGCTGTCTGTGCTAATTTAACATCACTGTGAACCTGAGAAAGCAAAAAGCCACGTCCCACCAGACTTATCCAATGTACATGAGGTTGTGGCTACTGTGGTTATGCTGTTAACACCTCCGCAGGTCAGGTGCAACCTGAAGGACAAGATCAACACAGGCCAGATGCTCTTTCAACTCCCCAAGAAAACAAATGCCACATCTCTTTTCACTCAGTTCATCAAAGACTTTGCTAGAAACCTCTGGAGACAAATCCTGAGTAAAGGAGGGACCAAATAGATTCCACACAGCTGATAGGTGTCTAAATCTGTAGCCTCAGAGTGTGTTTCCACCAAAGCAGGTGGTGATTCATGTCAGGCCTGCAGGCCCTCATCCTCCCAGATCCCTTGTAAAACCTCCTATTTCCTTAACCATGAAGCTCCTGGTCAGATTTGTTTGCTCAAGTAGTTCATCACTAACCACATGAGGACCACTCTTGGTGCCAGGAATTGAACAGGACTGCATGGCTCTGTGTGCATGATCTCAATAGACCTCAGGTCCATATTAGCTGCCTGGGAAGCTCCTGAGCTGCTAACCCCAGCTCTCAGCCCTGATTTCTCCAACTTCCTCTACAGAAAGTTCATGTAGTCCTTTAACAAGTTCTCTCCTTCTGACTGTTCTGCATCTTTGATCTCCCGGTTCTTGTTTCTATCATTATTTTTTCCTTGCAGCTATTCATGTCTGCCGTGAAACAGTCAGCAGGGATGCACTGTGAGAAAGGTCCTATAAGAAACACTCCACTTTCAAAGCTTATAGCTGGTTTCTTGTTGTTGCTGCATTTTTATTTGCTTTGGGGTTTTTGTAATCCACTGTCCTGACATGTTCCACAGCACTGGTATTCTAAGCAGTGTCACCTAAACGCTCTTTTCTTTAGGAAACAGACACAATTTGTCATTTTGTTTCCCCAATGCAACAAAATTAAGACTCCTATTGTAAGACTAAATTAAACACAAACATGCACACAAAGGTGATGTCTGTAGAGTGCCTCTAACCTAAACTCACCAAACAGAGATGCCTGTAGAGCTCTGGAGAGCAGGGACAGCCAACTAGAAACACTAGATAGAGGCACTTAGGAGAAATTTAGCCCATCTGTTAAAACAGTTCCTAGCACTCTTTCCATCTTAAGGCATTACCTAAATGTTTATAACTTCTGTATTTCTGTCCAAGCCATTTAGCAAGTATTTGCCTTTTAATAGTTTTTGGACAGAAAAGATTTTCTGGGTCCTTCAGCCTGATCTCCTGGACACAACTAGGCAGAGAATTTCTATATGAGGCCCACAGCTTCCGGTTGTACGGCCAGTCTTCGCGAGCGAAGATTTGGGAAAGGTCTTTACCCTTCGAGCCTGCTGTTTGACTAAATGTCTACAAATTTATGGCTCAGTAGGAGCAAAATATATTTGTATAAATATCATAAATACCTGTATAAATTCCATTCAGAATGAAAATGGACAGACAGCAGACAGTTGGTGGGGAGTTACCTATAGATTCAAGGCGACGTACTGGAATTTGCCTTTTTTCTTAAGGGGCTTGCATGCTTTAACATATAGATGGACAAAATATTCTTTTTGCTAATCAAAGTCCCAAAGTTGTACCTGTCTGTACTCTATAGCTTGCTTTGTAAGAAAGGACATGAGTATTATGATCATCACTCCAGCTGCTTTCATACACCTGGACCGACAAGTGCTTCTGTAGATGGTGACAGGGGTTTCTTACCGAGCCACTGTGGCATTCCAGGTTTCCACCCAAGCAGAGGGCTCTGGAGGATTGAAGCGCCTCTCTGCAAGGGGAGGGGCAGCATATGGGACCCCCAGGAACTGGCTGATATTTCTCCATTCTGAGCCAATGTGGATCACCTGGGATTTGCCCACCAGATTTCCATGTGACGGGATGTACACAGACGGGGTCAAATCCAATTCAGAAATGGGCAGGAATAAATCTGTCACAGAGGGAACAGAGGAAAAATAATTTGCTTTTTCAAGTTATTACCATTTCAGAAATGAAAATCAGCCCTATTTCCCTTAGTTTTAAACTGCTATGTGCCCCATTGCCTTCTTTAAATGAAACAGATAAATTTGTGTTATTGTCTCATTATAAAATAATTCATTAAAACAGAGCTATTTCTTTCCTAAAACAATGTATTTGATAGGCAGAAACCAAATTCCAAACCATGGAACTAAAACCCAAACTGTACAGAACAAATGCACAAGTCTAGCTTTTTTTGTCTCAGTCTCTGATTTTGCTGCACTTGACAATGACAAACCCCTTTTCTCTCATTGAGTTTGAACTTGGAAGGTTCTCATTGACTTCTTGACTCTTCACAGAATTTCAGTGAAACAAAAACGAAAATTTTCTTCCCTTCCCCTTTATTTTTACCTGGGTTCTAATTACTTCTAATAAATGAAATAATCAGTATTACATGAAAAGAAAACAGTATCTATAGAAATCAAGGGGAACGAAACCAATGAAACTTCTAGTTTCAAATAAGTATTTAACCATATAATAGAATTTTTACCTGTCTACGCTGTCTACACAATTTCTTTTTCTCTCTTAAATCATTTTCACTTCTTTAAAATATTAGTTCATCCTGATTTGGGAAAAAGGGTGTCTTTTTGGGGTGGGCTTTTTTGTTTTCTCCAGAGATGGTCCTTAACACTTTAAATTGACAGTGGGCTTTCAACACTCTGTGTGTAATTCTCGGAGTTTAAAAGGAAGGGCACATCATTTTCTGCAGATGAAAAGGATCTGGACTTTCACTACTGTTCTTGTTTGGTTTTACTGTTCTGCACTTTCTAAAGCACCTTTCATAAACTAGACTTCCTTTATTATACCTGCTTCAGCACTAGAGGGTAACATCATGATTTCATGCATTTTTACAAAAAGTACTAGGCTGTAACTCCACTGAAACAGCAATGGACAAGTGTCTAGGAGACATCTATATCACTTCATGTCTAGTGAGGATTTCCTCACCCCTCCATTCACAAGAACTGTGCACAGCTGAGGTCCTCCCCCACAGCCTTAACCTGTTCTTACCTTGTCTCCTGTAGATATAGGCAGCAGGTTCTTTGAGTAAAACCCGGCAGCTGTGTCCTTGCAGGCTGTGTGTGCAGATCTGTGTATCAGGGTAGAAAACGCATCTTATTGCTGAAGGCTGGATTTCTAGTGTAACCACTGTACATGACTGGTTCTTTGAACAAGCTATAAGGTGAAACATGAAGAAAAAGAGCAAGTAAAAATGTATCCTCACAGCAGTTTGTATGACATTGTTACACTATGCTTAAAAGAAAGGGTTTAGAACAGGTGAAGCAACAAGATATAAAGTAGCTCTGAAGCAGAATAATGGGATATAAAAGTCCTCAAATTCCCAGAAAATTCTCCAAAATAGCCAAAGGACTAGAAGGTTACATTGGCTTTAAAATGGAATAATATAGCAAGAGAAATATTATCACAGGTTTTAGAAGGAGAAAAGCATTATCTAATAAAGTACTGATAACCTCATCTGAATTCAAACAATCCCCAGGGAGCCCCAGAGAAAGGTTTAATTCTCAGTCTGTACTCAGAGGTGGGTATCCAACACTTTGCCTCTAGAAATAATCCTTCAAACAGTTACAGGAAAAGGAAAAAAAACCAGTTAGTTACACTGCTCACCCTCACAAGATGAGGACCATCTACTGCAAAAAGTGGGACTATTATCATCTTCAGCAGTAGGTGGGAACTTTTCCTTATTTCTACTGCCCTACAGCATTGAGGATTTCCCAGTTATCTGTAGTTAAAGGACTCTTTCCTGTCTAGTCAAGCTGTTGATTAAAGCAGTTCCCTTTGCTTCATCCCAGCTCTCAGTTAACCACCCTCACACACCACCACTATAGGTTACTTTAAGTAGTGGTAGGTGGGTCTCTCACCTGTCTCAGTGGATGAGCTTCCCTTAACTGTCCTTTAGAAAAATATGACATCATCACTTTCATTATTTGCTACAATATGCTCCAGGTTGTACATTGCCTGGAGAAGTAAGAGATGTCTGTGCCCAAGAAGTGTCAAAATTACACAATCACTGTATGGCATTTTATGTCTATTGTATATTTCACCTGTTAAACTATTTCAGGTCCCTTCTCTTAGATTCAAAAACACTCGAGTAGTATTTAAAAATAAATAAAATCAGTGTATCTATGTCAGAAGTGGGGGAGCTGTTCTTGGTTTTCAGGCTCACAGATCAGTATTTTCTGCAAAACTATGAATGACCATTTCTTACCAGATAGGCAAAAGTCTCTGGTAGTGGAGAAGTCATTGGATATGTCTCTACTAACTTGCACAACTTCAAAGTTTGAGATGGATGAATCCACAAGAACAGAGGATATATTTAAGGGTTGCCATACATCCAAAAGCTCTGCTAAATGAAACGTAAAAACCAATATAACTAGAAGAATCAGTAAAAACTTCTGAGGAAACTAACATAGAATTAAAAGCATTGGGGAGTTCCCCAATAAACAACTTTCATCTTCCTTTGCATCCACTGGGAATAAATGAAATATAAAGGTTTACAAAGTTAAGAAAAAGATAAATGTGAAGTAGCTCCATCCAGGTTTGCATGTAATTCCAACTGATTTCAATAAAAGGAACAGGGTTAAATACATTAAAGGGCATGAGTAATAATGCTTGCACACAAGTTGCTGAGCAGGTACAGCCAGTAAATCCTTGGAAAGTAAATGGACGTTAATTTGATCACTTTAATTTGATTTGGTGAACAGAATTACGTTAAATTCTATAAACTGTTTTAATGTCATGTAATTGCTACATGATTTCGATTTCATTCTATTTCATATGTATATATACAGAAACATACATGTGTAAATATAATCATGTGTATCACATATATACAAACATGCATATCACAAATATACATTTTACATGCATGTACATGTGTGAGCCTCTACATACACATAGGTACTGTCTCTAGTGTTCCTCAAGAATTGTTCTTCTCTTTCACAGTATATTTTTAAAAAATGCCACAAACATTCCTTTCTCATACACAAACAGATAAAAATATCTGCAGACTCTCAATTTTGCACACAGAAGACAAAAAAAGAAGGCTTGAAAAACAATGGGCCTTTAATTATTTTAGTTCCTTTCAACAGTTCAATTTGTTTCAAAAGCAGAAGACCCCACTGTGGCCACCGAGTCCTAAACAGTAGGTTGGCATTATCCTCTCCATGTAATTGTAGGGTGAGGACAGAGCTGAGTTAGCTCTTCCTTTGCTATTCCTGGTGAGCGGGTCTTGCCCTGTTGCTAGAGTTCATTTACCACACAAATGCAAAAGTTGTGAATGTTCATTTCATTAAACATTCCTTTTAATCTACTGAGAAATCTACTGAGATGGCCAAAGTTTCATTCCTGAAGCTGAGGCCTGGGGGCCATATTATCAACTTGGAAATCCTGGTGTTGACATACTTGTCCAGATGATGAGAACCCAAGAACCAAAACACACCACGGACAAGGCTGGTTCCATCCTTCCTTGAGCAAATAGGCAGGGAATAGCAATGACTAAATTAGATTTTCCAATAATATTATTCCAAATAATTCATGACAGCACAGGGTAACTTGCCACAATTCAGGGCCCTACATCGATGCTAAAAGTCTTCACTTTTGCAAGGTAAATCCTTCCCTTGGAAGTGTAAACCTCAAGCATGAGTTATCTCCCAGAGGACAAGCTGAAAAAACCTGATGTGCTACCACCATTGCCAAGGCTAATGCCTTAGTGCTGGTTCCTTTGCCATCACCCTTGTTGAAAAAAACCTCTGATGCAGTGATGAACTGATCTACTCTACTCCATATGACCTCTCAGACAGCCCTGCCCCAGTTCAGGCTTTTGAACTAGAGGCAAGAAAGAAGGATTGGGTCCTTTACAGCCACTTCGAAATCATTTCATTCCTGTTATATTTGGGAGCAACTCCTCTGAGAGAGGTGCTGAAAGTCTCCAGCTAAGTAGACATGAAGGTTAATTCAGTGCTGCACTGTTGTATGTAAAAACCACAAGCTTACTTGATGTCACAGAGTACCAAAGTCATCACTAGCAGTCTGTTCAGAGGGAGCCTGAACTAGTCAGGGAGCAATGACCCTGCAGTCACAGCTTGACTTGTGCAACAGATCCATTGCACTGAATATTTTCTTCCCCTTAAGCACAGACTATTCAGTCATTTTAGAGGAACAGAGTGATTTTAGTCATGTGGAAATAAGTATTTTTCATATTCTCAATTTCTCTTTTTGAAAGCATTTAATATGAGCTGTCGTATGACCCATGTCAGAAAATTTCAGCCTCTCCATCTAGTGTGCCAGTTGGTGACATTTATTTAGAAAGATATGTAAAAATAGAAATCAACTCTGTAAATAATGGAGAAGTAAGCATTACATCCTTTCCAGAGATTGTCTGCCTGCACTACTAGACCCTCCAGGTCTTTCTTTTCCAGACTAAGTTTTACAGGTTTTGTGGCTTTTTTTCTGAAAACATGAACAAGAAAAGATTTCTTTTATCAATATGACGCAAACTTTGTTTTTCCATAAGAGCAATGTTGCCATCCTGTGCTGTGTACAGTACTAGTAACTGAGGTCCTACTACTGGAACAAGCAACCTCTCTAGGTTCAGACACAAAGCTTCAAATTACCAGCTATGGTTCTTTCAAAAGAGAGCTTTGTCTGGATTCCACTGTAAGGCAAAAAGTCTGGGTGTATCAGTGGTTTCAGAAGATATTTCCCCAGACAGACTCTCTTCCCATAGCTTCCCTGACTCACCGAGTGACCTCGGGCAAGTCTCAGCATCACATTTCTCCATTTCCCGCACACCAAAACAAATCTACAAAAGCAAAATAAATTTCTTGGATTTACACCTCTGACATTTAAATTTGGCCTCCTATTCCGACTTCACAAGATAAACTTCCGACTTCTACATGAAAAGATACTTATTTCATCCCTTTATGTGGCATTAGTCAAGTCAGTAACATACATTTTATATGCATATGAGACACAATGGGCACTTTGTAGCCCACGTTAGGCACAGAAGAGTGACCACTCACAATGGAAACATCCATATATCATACATTCACATCTAAACTGCTTATTTGTTGCCCCAAATCTCACAGAGGTGACCCTTGAAAAATCTCACATGGGATTGTTCTTTAGGTTGGGTTGGAGTATGGAGTGGGGTTTTTTTCATTTTCAGTCCTGGATGAAATATTCATAACCTCAGATCAGATTTATATGCTGAGACTTACAGTGTTTTTCTTTTCCCTTCCTCTGCCCAGCTGATTCCAGATGCAGAGAGATGCAGAAACACTAATGCTTACTTAATAACAGAGCAAAACTCTTTAACCTAGAGACGTGCGTGGCACCACTGTGGACACTGCCAGCCAGCAGTGAGCTGCAAAAGAGATTTTGGCTATTATTTGCTTCCTTCTTCCCTTCTCCTCACAGTAGATCCAGCAATGCCCATAGATCCCCACTTTCCATGGCTGATCTAAACTTGACTTGTCTAGAAACTGCTCTCATGAGGCACAGAGCAACAACCTGGCACTGCGTACTGGAAATGCACAGTGCACCTGATGGGCTGGAAGACATTTCTGCTTTATATATAGGTTAAGCTCTGACCTTCCAAACCACATTTTGGCAAATGCTTTGATTGGATAATTACAGCCCTCTGAATCCATCCAGCCCTGTAACTTTTACTGCAAAATTATAGATGTCCCATACAGAGAGCCTCTCTCTTCCAGATGTTCTTGTTTGGGTAGGCAAGGTTTAAGACTGGATTTGCAAAAGGACTCACGCTGGCCTTACTCTGTTCCCACTCCATTTATAAGATCAGAAGACTGGAAAAGATTTCCTGGGGACACAGAGTTCAGCCTCCCACTTTCACAGGCAATGAAATTATAAACCCTTTATAATAAAGTCAACAAAAGTTTCATCCCTGACTTCAGTGGAAAAAAAGAGGCATCAGTTCTGAGTGTGCTGGAAAATTTAACATTTTATATAAGGAAACAGATACAGAAATACAATAAAATAACAAGTTAAATTTAAAAGAAAACTTATGAAGTTGAGGAGGTTAATATGAGCTTAAGAAGGCACATAAATCAGATCTTTGTGTCCAGTATGCCTGATTTATTTTTGAAAGACAAGTTCTGATCTTAGTTCTGAGATTTGTGAGCCATATTCAATAGCCCTGACTCAAGCCCAAAACATGCTTACAGACCGAACTCAGTGTTTTATATTCCCAGTATTCAGAGTTTATTCTCAACAAAGACTGCTAACCTGTCTATATACCAACAATCTCCAAAACCAGCAAATCATCAAAAGAGCGGACCTGTAGAAAATATATCCTTCCTAAAATATAACTGCTTCTCACTTTTGTCCATCTACTGAGATTTGTATAACTCAAAATGAGTAGTTCTCTTTAAACTGCTGCATAATAACTGTAATCACACCTGAGACAAACAGGTCCCAAAACTAACAACTGTGTTATTTATGGTCTTTAGCAGTGAGCAATCTTGCTGTGTTACTGTTAAACTCAAGCTTTTTGCCTATTTTAGGGGTGCCAGTTACAATAAGTGATATAGTAGTGGTATATTAAAACTGTACTATATACTTATCCAGGTTTAAAGCAAGGCGTTCCAAAAAGGCTGAAATTCCCATATTTACAGACAGAATAAAAATCAAACTTAAGACCAAAGATAGAGCAATTCCACACCAGAGGTCCAATTTGCTGTGTGGGAGCACAGTAGATCAGTTCCCAAAGATGGATAAAAAAGGCTGTCTTTGTTTCAAAGCAAAAATCTCTCTGAAAAATACTTAGCATTGTGGGAAAACAGGAAGACAAATGATACTATTAATCACCAAAGTCAGCTACATCAGCGTTTGTACTATCAGCATCTCATCTCTGTTGAGAATAGAAATACCCCACATGCTGACACAGCCCCATGGGAAATTTATTCCCATGTTGGAATATCCCATAGCCACTGCTCAGTCCTGCCTCAAGGGAATGGCTATAAATCACTAGGGGATCACTGGAGGCAGAAACAGGAAGGGCCTAACAGATCATTACATCCATATGCCTCAGTGGTTTCTTAATTAATTACTTGATTTGCATGGAATGGGAACAGAGCCCATATGATCTGTATACAATCCACAGTCCCATGCAGAGACCACCATTTAAGGGCCACTATCTTCTTGCAGTTGCCAGATCTAAGATAGACATATCCTAGTTAGAACTGAAGACAAAAATGTTCAGTAAATTTTGGATAATTACTGTATACAATTCATAAGTCTCATAACAAAGTCAAAGTCATACATTGGAGTCACTGCTCCCACATGCACAGGAGTATTTTCAGTCTCTCCAGTCTACTTTAAGCACAAGTGTTCCTTCTAAAAATCCAGGTAACACGTTTCATAGATTGTTTTGCTTCTTTCAAGCTTAATTGTAAAGACATAAAGACTTCCACAGCTCAAACCCCTGTGCATAAACTGTTTGAAAAACAGCACTACATACTGTAAAATTACAATATGTAATATATAACAAAAAAAAAACCCTTTTCTTATCTCTCCTAGCTTACAGCTGGCTGCAGAAAGTTCCATCTCAAACCTAATTCTGAGACCTGGCTGTTTCCTCTTTTACCTAACATTCCCCCATGTTCACACAACTCAGTGGAGTTGTTATTTAAATACCAGCGTAGGTAAACCAAAACTGCAGGATGACATATGAGCATCTTCAGCATGGACAGTCTTAAAATAACAGCTGTCCTCCCACCATTAAAGGTCACAGATCATACCTGAAACTCACCACAGATGGTTCCATACTCAGTGTCATTACAGCACATTTTCTTCAGGGGAAAAAATGCTCCAAATGTAACAAGTTGGACTTTCCCAGTTTGTCCAGACTATTGATTTTTCAAGCATTATTTCTTAGATCACAGAAACTATGTGGAAATCATAATAGCCCAGCAGGAGTATGCTCTGCTCCATGCAATGGAGGTATGGAAGTAAATTAAAGTATTCATTCAGTTAAAAATGAAAACCACACATTCAGTTAAACACACTATAGCCTGGTGATGAAGGTGACTTGGAGAGTTTAACCTTGTAGCAGAAAGGATTTTGCAAGAATACAAATAGGCAAAACTTGTTGAAGCAACAACAAAACCACAAGAATTCAGGTAGAAGTGTGCAGTTCACCTCCCTCCTGCTAGAGAGTAGTGACCTGCAGGCACTACAGAGCACTTAATTCCTGGTTTTCATAGGCTAGTGGGGTATCTAATGAGTGTTAGAAACACACAGCAGTGCTGCTTGTAGGGGGAGTAATCTGGGAAAAGCCCACTGGAGCCTCAGGCTTTTGAAAGGAACCACAGGGCTGCAATGGGTTGCTGGATGAACACAAGGCAACACAAGTCTGACACAAGGCAAAGAACAGGAAGAACCTCAAGCCTCCCCTCGTGCTGTGTCTCTCCTGAGGTTATAGCCTCACACAGAGAAGGGACTTTTTTTGCAGCTCCCTGGTGGCTGCAGGCTGCTCTATGACAAGGCATGAAAAGAAGTCGCTCTTGAAAATTATTTTTGTCATTGCAGATTCAAAAGTCTGGAGATTTTATGACTATTACTTCTGGTGAACTTCTTTAAAAGCCCACACCAGGGAACAGAAGGAAAACAAATACCTCCCCAATCAGCAGAGCCTTTCAAAGGTGTTTGAGAGTGGCCTCAGAATTACATTAACCAGTTCCCTCTGCACTCATGGGTTTGTATGTCCAGATTGTTCCCTGACCTGATCCTCCTCCACTGAGGATAAATCTTCCTTGCTGCAGTTTTCCTCCCAGTCTGTAGGGCCTGAAGGTTGGACTTGCCAGTAAAGACTGAGGTGAAGAAGGCACTTTGTCCTTTTCCATATCCTTTGGAATCAGGTCTCCTGCCACATTCATCAGCAGACCCATATTTTCCCTACTCTTCCTTTTGCTACTACGCACATACTTGTAGAAAACCTTCTTGTTGAGATTTTCTGTTGGTTTATGGTCCTACAACACCTTTACCCTCTCTATTGAGAAGAGCACTTAGTAAAACAGGAAAGCATCTACTTCCCACAAGACTGAAAATAAGTCTACTCATATGGTTTTCTTCACAATATGTTGGGGCTGCAAACACCACAGATATTGAATGGAGCAGCATCCTGACTGCAAATGGGAGGAAGCAAATTGCTAGGCAGTGTCCTGAGCATTGCAAAGTGGCTAACTAGGAAAGGAGGCAGTCAAGTGCATTAACTGTCCAATGAAATGTAGGCCTTGATGGTGCTCTAGTTAACTCAGCCTCTAGACTGAACATAACATCAGCTTCACTATTCCACAGAGCCTTCTGGCAAAGCATACAAATCTAAGTATCTTTCTGATCTTTGGATGGAAAAAATTACATTTTTATATGTATATATATGTGCTTACATGTACACACACAGATATATATATACACAGCAGTGCCCTTTAAATAGTGACATTTTCTCACACTCACCATCTGGTTACCACAGAGGAGTCACAGTAATTTTTTTTTCCCGTGTACAAGCATTACAACAACTTACAAAATTCACTCACTTTTCTGTTATGCCCAACTCTAAAACAGTTAGTCTTCTATAGCATATATTAATATAACATATATAATCGCCAAGAGTATGGAAACAATGTTTTTGAAATTTTTTCAAAACCTCTGACAACAGAGCACAATCTGACCTAAGCAGCCAGGTTGGCACTTTTACTATTGAAACGAGGCAGAATAAAAGAAGGACAGATGATGCCCAGTTGCATTTTGAATGTGTTGCTGCACCCACTGGTGTCAGATGCAAAGTCTACAGGATACTGGTGCTAATTTGACTTCCAGGCCAGTTGTGATCTTTATAATTCAGTGACATGTCCTGACCACTGTCAGCCCTCAGGACCACAGCTCTAATCCAGAATCCTGCACCCCTGTGGGAGGCTCTGCCTGCTTGGGTTGTTTAACCAGACCTTTGCAAACTAGAGACATCCCTAGTTGCTCTGCATTTGAAAAGATGACCTGGAAGTGGGTGTGACAGATCAGGGCTGTTACTAAGGGTAAAATGACTCACTTCCTGGGCAGCTTTTAGAGTAGAAAGTAACTGACAGCAGACCTAATTTCCTAATTTCCTTAAGTGCTGCTTAGGTTACTGTTTTCCTAGACTTAAGCAAGCAAGAAAAACAGAAACATGACAAAATTACTACTAAGCTTCACACTGGGAGGAAGAAAGTTTTAGTGACATGGTTTTCCACATCCCATGGGAAAAACAGTTTGCAAAGGAGATGAATTGCCCAACCTACACATTACCCCACCAGCTCTTCAAAGCATTTCACACAAAAATTATTTCTACTTACTCATGAAGATACGAGTTTTCCTTCTATTACATTAAACTGATAATTAAAAAGCACAAATTCTACTAATAAATACAAAGACTGTGAACTTGATCATGACTAGTGGCCATGGATATGATGATAAAATAGATGATAATAAATCTGAACTCCATATTGCAAATATCAACCATCCCCTGTAAACCCAGTTGCATAGAGTTTAAGGAGAGACAGATATAAACAGATTAAATATTTGTTCAGATCAAACAGAAAATCAAAGGCAGAGATGGACAAGAGTTATCAATTTCATTTTAACTAGAGGGTTAAATTGAGTTTTCTAATGACAAGTTAACCTGCTTCCATTCCATTTCACACGGCATTTAGCAGCTATGCTGTGTATTTCTGGAAAGGACACATCAGGGAAACCTGCAGCTGTTGAAAATTTGCATATATTTTTAGGGGACAATAGACACAAAGCCCTGAAAGACAGTAGTAAAGTTTCGTTTATTAAGAGGATCCACCCACTTTTAAAATAACACGTGAGTACCATAAGATTCATCATACTTGTTGAAAGTGATGTGACATCCACACTCACAAATAAATGTCTTTATCAATCCTACCAAACATTTTGCTTCAGCGACCTTATGTGGCAGTGAGTGTGAGATATTAGGTCAGCATTGGAGATATGACAATTCTTCCATTTAAACGATACATAATTAATAAAAATAAGTCATCATCTAAATGAGTAACCTCATGGGGAACACAAATATTTCATAATAGTGTGATCTTTTAGCAATGCATACAAAATAGAAGATGTTTCCTGGTTTTTTTCTCAATACATAAATGCACTTACCACTTTCTGGCCTGAGAGGCAAACTAACAAGTGGACAGAGGTCAGGCATGGTGCTCTTCAAGTCAGCTAAAAGCAGAAAAAAATAACACATTTGAAAACAATTATACTTGAAGGTTTAGAATGGAATCTCAATATTTCCAGCATTACTTCTGGGATCTGGATGTTGCATCTTCTCACCACAAATACCAAGACTAAGGATGTGATGTTGCTTTGCTATCTAACCCTTTTGAGTTCATACATGAAGCCAGACTTCCCTAAATTTCCATCTTTATAAACATTCTTCAAAAAACACTTTTTGGGGCACAGTTATGAACAATTCATTTCAGTATCTCTGTGGTTTTTTCCACGCACCTCTCTGCATTTGGGCTTCGGCATCACAAGAGATGTGAGTTTTTCTCTGCTTCCAGCAAACGGGAATTTCTCCAAATAGGAATGAGAAACAAGGCAGTTTCCAGCACAGCACTTTCCAAATTAAAATTCAAGCAAGAATTCATTTCCATACACAAGACTTCTCATTTGCTAATATTTCCCACAAATAATTTGCAATCACAAAAAACACACATCAACTTAACATAACACATTATGAAATGTGAAGGCATAAGTACCTTCCTACAAAACTAAAGTCCACCTCCTGTGGACTAAAGCAAAAGACCCTGTTTCATGCTAATGTCCCCACTGCCTACGGTAAATCACTCCTTCAGATTTCACTCATTTTTCTTTTTTAGCCTCAGAGCCTTTTTGTTCCTTTTCCTGGTTCCCAGACCTTAGCACAGCAGCACAACTGATACAAATTTTTGTCTGTAAATATCTCCATTTGCATAAACATCTGTGCCTTGCTGTGTGTTACAGTGCCTTGGTGTGTCTTACAGTGGAAACACATCTGAAGCTCCCTCACTACATTAGGAAACACCACTGTCTCTCCTGACACTCCCTGCTTTGCATAAACCCATGGCTCTGCTTTGTCATCCCTCTGTCCATCCAGTGAGAAACATCCTTTATTTTTAGTTGGTTCTTTGCTGACAAGAGGAAAAACAATTTTAAGAACTAGAAGTGTATCTACCCCTCTTCTATCTGCTCTTCACCTTTCTACCATTCTTCAGTTACCCCTGATTCCCTCTTAACTCCCCCTGCCACCAGGATTCTGCCACTGCCTGCTTTATCAGGGCTGTTGTTCCCTTTTTCTCAGTGCTAGATCCTCAGCCCATCCCTGCCTAGCTTCTGTAGTGCTTCCCAACCCCACGCTGTCTCTTACCTTTTAACAAGGACTGCCCCACTAAAGGAGGACATGGATGTTGCAGTGGGCATAGAGCCAGCACAGGACTTGAAAAGCTCAGGACTGAGTTCATATTTCAAACAGAGAGTGTGATGAAGATTTTCTCTATCAACACTGTAAAATGCAGCATACTGCCATGATATCTGATCTATCTCTACACAGCTTTAGCTGGATTATCTTTCTATCACATTCCCCGGACAATATATATCCAGACTTTGTGCCTCCCCTCTCCTCTCAGCTATCAGCCCTTCTCTACTCTGCAAGAACTAAGGGAGTGTAAAAGCAGGAAAAAGTACTCTTTATTCAATTTTTTCCCTGATTCTGTCAACATCACCAGACCTGCCCCCATGGGGCCTTTCTGTTCTGGAGTTCAACAAGGCTGTGCCTACATGACTAAGTAAAAGGCTGTCCTCCCATAAAGGGGGACACAGTCAGGCAGGCAATTGTCTTCCTTATTGTTTCAGTTATGTGAAATCAAAGCTTAACAAAGTAGAACTAGATCTGCCCAAAAGAAGTGTGACAAATGAGAAATCCACTTATAGTTTTTAATGAAGTAATGGAACTTTTGTTTTGCTACGGAAAATAAAATCCACTTTGACAAAGAGTGGTTTTGATTCCTCCTGAGGAAATAACCCAACATCTCATAACTGCTCTTCTGCTTAAACATGTGATAGCTTCTTACTGCTTGAAAAATACAGTGCTACCTTGGAATCTGGTCTTGGCCTTTTCTTTACCAAAACAGTCAAAAGTAAATTTTAAATTCTGTAGCAAAACCAAATCTTTTGAGGTTATGTATCCACACAGATGGTAAAACCATAAGCCCAGCAGTGAGTGAGAAACAAAGAATGATTTACTGACGAGGACTGTGCAGTGGGGCAAAATATATTTGAATTCCAACATCAGCCACAAGTCTCCCATACAATCCAAGAAATTAAATTATACTTCTTTGAGGTATTACTATTCTTTTTCTATTAAAATGGAGACTAAATTGCGCTTCACTTTTCCTTGCACACGCTTGTCTGCCTTGTCTATTTGTAATCCTTACAAATGGGTCCTACAGCTGGAAGCTGGAATTTGTATACAATGAAGCTGAAAAATAAACTTCAATGCACAGAAACCAGTTAGAAAGGACGTGTGTCCTGCATCACTTACCAGGCTTCTGATACCAGCCAAATGGGTGTATTCTGACTTCAGCATCTGGTGAATTACAATTTGAAATGTGCCAAGCACTTCTTGTTTCCTCAGCACATGTCTGGATTCCAAGGCTGTTCAGAGTCACGCACACGATCTTTCCACCTGCCAAGGAAATAAATGGTTATAGAAATCATAAGGAAAATTTTCCTCTTCTAGATAGTTGTGAGGAAAGAGAACACAGCATGGTTCCACTGTGTTAAATGAAGTTCAACTAACTTAGAAATCGAAGGCAGGAAATATCTAAAATGGGCCAAGTACCTGAAACTAGTGTTGAAAAATCCCAATGAATTCCGTGTGAAGGCAGGTGGGTACCAACATTATTAATCATTATTATCCAAGGTCACAGAGCATCTCCACCAAGCAAAGATCAGGACTCTTTGAGCAAACAGCCCTTTCAGGTTAATGCAATCCTTGAAATTAAAAATCTGCATGTATATTGAAACATGGCCACTACTTACATCAAGATAAAAATTCTGTCTTTCAAAGACCTTGTGTAAATTTTTTTGTTGCTGAAAAAAAATGGAGGGTTTGAAACACAGCTAGCAGATTCACTGAAGATTTTAGCTCATATTAAAATCATTACTGAAAGTTCTCTTGACTATACAAGTGCCAGGACTGGATGCCTGAAATGTCACAGATACTTAATATCAGATAAACTAAAGAGTTTAGTGAGTTTTCCATGTTTAGTGCTTTAAAATTCTTCATTTATTTTACAACTATTTAAAGAAACCTAAAGCCACATTACGTTAAGACTTCAAATTTCATATGGTCATATGGAGGTATGAAAACTGTGAACTATTTTGTATTTGCACATTACTTGCAATCTAAACTACATTGGATTAATTTTCCAAGCTACTCATTTTTTGACCAACTGAAAATTTTGTCTGCTCAACAAATTAAAAATTTGGAATTAAAAATATATATTTCTGAACTGTTTCAAATTCCCAAGCGAGTTGTAAAGCCAGCACATCCTAAATGACCTCAGGGACAGTTGATTAGCATATGACCCTTCCAAAAACAAAGTTAGACATTTTAGTGGCCTAAATCTGAATGTGGAATAAAGTACTAAAATCTATTTCATTTACTTTGATCTAGGTGGCATCCAATTCTAAACACCAGCTTTTCTTTAAAAAGAGCACTTCCTTTACAGTCAGTAGAGACAAAGAAAAGTACCTCCAGAACAGGATTCAGTCAAGTAAAGCTCTTAATGACCCTATAGTTGTGTCTATACATCTCTCTGCTGACTAGAGAGGGAGCATGGGGTGACAACACCCCTTAACTTTGCTATCCCAGCAGAATAAAACATTTTTGTTTGACATTTTAATGGCTTTCAAGTCAAACATACATCAAAAGATCTGAGTTCTGCAGACTAACAGAACTCCTACTTGAGATGTCTTAAGTAGCTAAAATACTAAGGAGGAGCAGATAGGCAAGGTTTATCCACAACCAATCTTCCTCAAGCAGAAGACTAAAATCTGGGAGCACAGAAGTTCAGACATCCAAGAAAGACAAAAGGCTCAGCTGTCCCAAAGTACCCACAGACATTATGGGCTCACATGCATTTAATTTCATTATTATTTAGTTTTATGAGCCCTTTAGGCTTTAAAAAATGAAACAACAAAAAAGGGGGAAAAAGTCACAAAATGAAGTCAAGCAATATTTTGGAAGAGAGTTTGATAAATGAGTAGTAACTGGAGTTTTATCAGTTTGGATTTCATGCTGTTGGAACTGCAGCTTCTTAAGGGCTCATGAAGTTTTCTCAATAATTTCTGAGATGTGGAGTGTGGCATTGGGCTCAACCTTCAGAAGTAGTTATGGTTACTTGAAAAGAGAGATGCATGAGATCTGCAAGCACTTTCAAAGTGCTCTTCAGAGCAAAAGAATGGTAAAATTTGTATAATGAAGAAAGGCTGAAGTTATCTTAAAAATAAAACTAGAGGAAAAATACCTGACAGCTGGGAGTTATTAAAAAAGCCAAATCCTGTGCAACACGGGTCAGCATCACACCAACGCTCACACGCAAAAAACCTGGGAAAGGAGAACATTACTCTCAGTGCCACTGTGTCCATGATGGAGAAAAGAGGATATTGCACTGGGGAGAGACACTGAGAACCTGCAGAGATAGCATTCAGAAAAAGGCTGAAGAACCAGTCTGGTTCTTATTGCAGACACACTTCCATGCATTTTCCATATGTAGGTGAAATTACGTTTGGTCGTTATACATCTATCAGACTACCTCTAATAATTTAGATGATTATTTTGATATCTGCCCTGAAAAAATCAGCCTAAATTAATTTGGTATATTATTGATAAGAGATTTAACTGGCTAACTAGCAATGCAATATCAGCAGAAATAATAATTTTCATATACATAATTAGTAATTATATACATTATTATTTATAACTCAATTATACAATTCCTTTAAATCATGTGTTTGTTTTTTTTTTCATTAAATACTCTTAAATGATGGTTTTGGATAAACATATTTAATCCCCCTCATCTGTATAATGGGGTCTTGGTACTCCAGGCATGGTTAAAATTCCAGGAAAAAGAAAGGAACGTTCATGTCCTACCCGTCTGAAACAGGTTTTCTGCTCATGTCAGTCTTATTCCTCATTGAGATTCCTGTTACTTTCTGGAATGGCACACGTGTGTAGAAGCTCTTCACTGAACTTTGAAGAGTGACTGGAAGGAAAAAAAAAAAAACAAAATTGGAAAAATCAGTTTAACTACCATATACATACACTGGTCAAGTAATCACATGGTAAGGGTCAAGTTTATGTTTCTATGCTGGGTTCCATCGGATTAAAAGATAATTTGACATCATCACAGCAAAATTTTAATGGTTAAGCCTGAAGATGAACAAAAATCCAACAAGTGAAGGCTCTAAAAGCTGAGCAAAATACATTGTCCAAGAAAGACTTCCAGCCCAGGACTTCTGTTTCTGAGGTCTGCGTTGATGCTACTCCTTTCACAAGGTCAAAAACTGGAATACAGTTTGGAAAACTCCAGATTGGAAAACTCCAGTGTGCTCATCCATTAGTTAACCCATGCTGCCCTTTAGGCTCCCCAAAAAGACATGGTTGAGTAGCTTAGTTCAGTGGACCTTTACATTTTTTCACAGAAAAATTACAGGTTCCTGTGCAGTGATAACAGGTTTGTTGGTCCAGCTTCCTTACATAAGCCCTATGAGAAAAAACACTGAACCTCCCAAGCATTCACAGAGTAAAGGTTAAAATCCACATCTATAGCTCTGCACGTGCAAAAAAAAAAGCAAAAAAAAATTACACTCAGCCCTTTCATTGTTGCACTACTTAGCTACCATGGAAATTTTAATTGTAGAAAATGGGATTAGTGACATTCCAATGACATTCCCATTCCACCCTTTATAAAAAGATAGAAGAGCTGGTATACAAATTATTTGATCTACCCTTGGCCTCTCTGAATTGGGAATAGCTGAGGTGGAGAATGAAACTGGTGATTAATAACTTTCCATTCTGAACAGAAAATGAACATCCGTGCCAAGAACAGTCTGGTCTGCCCTTGCATCATCACATCCCAGGATTCATTCTTATATTTAGACTTTTTTTATCAGAATCAAGAGCCAAACACCAGCTTGTATTACCAGGGTTAGAGTAGACATAAATCCAAATACCAAAACTTGCCTATTTTACGATACAGTGTCTGTGGTTGCCGGGGTAGCACAGTTGGACAGTTCCCTAGTGTTTGATCAATGCTGCTGTCACAAATCTGTGCCTCTGGATAGAGGGTACACACAAAGTATTTGTCTGTGGTGTTTTGAAGATCTACCATTCGGCAAAACTCATCTTCTTGGGCACAGCCTGAGAAGCAAAGTCAGAAAGAGTTACACACACAAGGGTTCCTTCCCCTCTCTGCTCCTGTTCATGTTGTCGGTGCACTTAAAGCTAAACATCAGCAAAAAACTAAGAGTGAGAATTTCAATATTATCCTATTAGTTGTGCAAATTAATTAGTTCAATTAATTAAAGTCCAAGAGAAAGAGGGACATATTCCAATTCTAGTGGCATTGAAGAGCAGGTGTACCTGGAGAACACAGAAAAGGAGCTACAGCAGAGCTAATAGGAAAGATAAATTCCCCAGCTGTGGCAAGTGTTACTTCAGTGTATTGGTGTCACTCTAATATTTAATTAATAAAAATCTCTTTCTTTTTAGCAAATTTGACATACAAATTATATAATCATAAAAGAACTCTGCACCAGTTAATTATACTTAACTTTTCTGGAATCAACTGTTCAAGCCATTTGCTCGTAGCAATTTTTTCTGAAATTTACCCCAGGGTAATAATGCATCTTCAGAAAAGTACCAAAGCTGCCAAACCCATCTCTTAATTACCATGGCAATGGCTTCTGTAAACATGCATCATTTTACAATGCATCATTTTAAACAGGCATATCTCTACTGACCTCTTACAGTGATGCTTGTGCACTGTTTAGTACTCTTAGTTCTGACTTCCTGGTAGAGCTAGAAACCCTTCTCCATCTATTGCATCAAAACACACTTTATCATTAACACCAAATATCTGTGTTTTACCTTCTACTTTTACCACTATGTCATCTATCTATTTGGAAGGGTACTTTTCAAGAACACCTGAGCATTGCCTAAGCTGTATCTTTGACTTCTCTTGCCCATAACAGGGTACCCTGATGATGAATGACAGTTACCCTTTCTGCCATGGCACACTAAGACTGTAAGGAAGAAACAAGTGGCCCCATTAGCAATTTCCATGAAAATCTTAGGAGTTTTCCCCCAAAAAATCTTGAAGTCCAAAGTTTCCATGGGTCGTTACTATAATACCTATTAAAAGATTTTAGTTAATTATTACTTCCTACAGAATAACAGCCTCCAAGAAGTCTTACGTGTGAGACACCAAAGCACAGCTTCCTCAGCTGAGTATTTCTGACTGAAGATCCAATACTGCTGGTAAGGGAGAGAATAGTTCTGGTCACTTTGTACTTGGCTGTTGTCCATTAGGTAGAAAAGATCCTTTGTGGCATCTGAGATACAAACAAACAAACAATCCCACAAAAAAAATTAAATATGATCTGGAATAAATTAAATTTATTTATGCATAAAATTCTGCCTTTCACAGTAAAACAGCTGCAACCGTTTTGTAGAGCTAGCATACACCAAAGGCTGCTTTTCATAACACAACTGTCCACCCACAGTTAGAGATGCTCCTGTAGGCAATGCCCCCGCTCTGAGCTGCACTGCATAACACAGCATTGTCAGACTATTTCCACCTCCCAAAAACTTGACAGCTCCCAGAAGTTAGAGCATTCCCTCTACTCTGTCATGCAACACAATATCCTAGCATTGAAGCATGATGCCTCAGAGGATGTTTGCAATTCCTCAATCAATCTAATTTTATTAATCCAAAGTACAGCAGCTTCCTTATATTCCCTTGAGAAGCTTTTACACCTCTCTTCTCTATGTTAAAAGTTTTCTTGACAAGTTTAATACCTATTTCTGTCATTTGACCTCATTTCTCCTAGTTTATACTCCCACAGACCACATTAAATAACTCCTTTTTGTCACCTGCCTGTGACCTTTAGACATGTATGCAATGCTTTATACCTCCTGAGCTCCCTCTGAAACAATCAATCACAGGTCTTTCAGGCTGTTTCCAAATTTATCCCTTTAAATAAAGTTGCAATATTGAAAGAAATGAACACTCTTCACTGATCTCTTACAAATTTCTTCTTCAACACTTTCTTATTTATCAAATGTCATCAGCAGGTCTTATCCCCAGGTATATTGTGAGACATTCTGTTATTTAATCTTACATGCAGTGAAACAACCAGACAATAATGCAAACAAGAAGACATGCTGATGATTACTGTTGAAGTGCTGAAGCACCTACTGACATGCTGGGAGTGCACTATAGCTTTGAATTTTCTGTCAGAAACTAGAAAAGATATGTTACCATGTGTTTTATGAAAGATCATCAAGTAATAAAAGCTTTTTAGACATTTTCCCATAACTTATAACGTAAGTTATGTACCCCTAACTTCTTAAAACAGGTGGCTTATAATTCCTGTTACCTCTTGAGCTTTAACTTCAACCTTCATTTTCTCTGGAAACAGCTGGTGTCACAACTAAGACTTAGGGATGCAGGTAGAAACTGCATTCCTTGCATAACTTTATGTTTTAATGACACCATCAGCCCCAGCAAGATAAATGGAGAACCCTGAGGGCTGCACTCATGCCTTGGCAGGTAAATGCAACAGAATTTCACCCACTGTATTACGCACATTTTTTTCTCTCATTTTTGAGTCTAGACTTTAAAATACTCCTAATTGTATAGGAGCACTGTTTGGTAAATGTGCATTTTCAGTTTACCTCCCTTTCGAATTCCAAAAGAAAATCCTTTTAGGATTTTGCATGTATTAAATCATGTGCTCAGACGTTCATCAAGACTCCTCAGCAAAGATTACATTTACTTAAAGGTGAGCCAAGGTGCTCTCAACAGGCTCCACTGCTCTCTTTCTCTTAGGATTATGGTGCTGAAGGCCCAAATGAATTCTAATAACTTACTACAAATTCTTTAGGACCTACACATGACTTATAGTATAACCAAGAGCAAGCCTTGGAATAACAAAGGAGCTAACAGAAGTTCACAGGTCCCTCACTGTCATCATGCACGGAGGAAACACTTGTGATTGCAGTTTCATCCTGATTTTCTCTAAGCATCATATTTGCAGCCATACTGTCACTAGCAGTAAAGATTCCCAGGTACCTAAGTTAAGGATTTAATTTCTGGGTCTATGTGAAATTTTTTCTCAGCCAAATAATATTTTTCTGAGTCTCTTCAATTCAGTAAGTCTGAAAGAACAAACTTTCACAAAACATTTTAACATTTTCATTTCCAGCCTAGCCTAGGAAGGTAAAAACCATGAAGCCAGGAGGTTTACATTTTGAACATCTTCCTCAAAACCTCTATGGGCCTTCCTACCTAAGAGAAATCCTCTCTACTTCACAATACCTAGGGTATCATGAACATATATAGCAATATATAACATTTTCTGGTTAAACTCTGCATCACTTATCTGCTGTCTTCTGCTGTCCTCTCTGCCCACCCCTCCTGACAATAGTACCTGACAATGCTAAGTCATTCTCTGTCTTCAAAGCAGCAGAAGCACCACACGCGGAGGTTTTAGTCCGGGTGGCCATATCAGAATCTGCAATGAAACAGGAATTAAAGAGCATTGTGATTCCCTTTATCTGTCTTTTACAAGACCATCCTTAGATCCCAAATTTAACAAATATTTTACAGTGCACCATTTAGGAAAACTCTTTAGGTAGTTCCACCAGCTGTTGAATCAAAAAACAAGTAAACCAGCTCTGGACAGCTCTGGGGAAAACCTAAACCAAACTGCACCGTTTGCAGGATAAAAGCAAATGCCGTATCCACAACCACTATGCACTCAGCAGCAGCAGTCTGCAGACTGTGTGCATTTATAAAGCAGCATCAAAAATCATTTGTGCAGGTCCTGCTACGTACATGGTGACATTTGGAAAGCAAATTTGCAAAAATAACACATACAGGGTTATCATGCTAAAAAACATAACCTATGTAGTTAAGCATAAAGCGGCAAATTATTATGGCACCTGGACACTGATGGGACAAAAGCAAGTGTGTTAATGTTACAGTTTTCACAGGTATTAAAAGTTATAAATTATGTTCTCAGACACAAGAAATTACCCAAATTTTACGAAACTGGCGGTAGCAGAATTACCCCAGATTACCCATCCTACCAGAAAAGACTTCTGAGTAGTGTCTCAATTTGGACACCATAAAATGAAGTGACAGTGACACTTCCACTATAGAACACACGTCTGCCACTGCCAACAGTTCACCATAAGTTTTTATAACAACTTGTGCGAGGTAACTCACCTCTCCACAGGTAAACTTGCTGAAAGGTAGTAAAATTTCTTTCAGTCTCTTTCACCAACTGAGAAGCTAATAAAGAAAAAAATTTGTTAGAGTAGCTGCTCAAATTACACAGATAGTATTGAAATGCTCAGAAATTGCATAGAAAGCACATCACTACACTATGCATCACCTTATTTATAATACAAAACGCTAAGGAAGAAGGTCTCAGGTGTCAAGGGGCTAGTCTGGGTCTAGGGTGCCAAGGCTTTACTCAATTTTCAATCATTGTTTTTACTGTGCAGCTCTGGGCACCTCCTTTTTTATCTTTGCTCTGGACTTTACCTTTCTTTCAGATTATTGGGTTGAATCTGCCTGAATTAAATGCTGGAATTATTACGGGGTGACATATTAAACACATTCTTGACTCTCATTAATGTGCTCACAGCAAGACATGGGAGGTCCATCTATCTAACAATGCATCCAGTTAGAAAGTTCTTATTCTCTTGTGATTGATATGGACTTAAATTGAGGAAAAAAGCACTGAAGCACAAGAGCAGGCTGGTGAAAAAGGCAGAGTCTATACAACAATTAAAGAAGACTAATGTAAATTGAGAGAATTAATTGACATACTTCCACTGAACACTTGTCCTCCCAGGGTAAAGGAAAATGTCTTCTCCTTCTCATCATAGCTCACACCATTACATATCCCACCTATGACAGAGTTTGGTGTCGGACTCCAGACACTTCCATCGCAGATCAGCACGTCTGGGGAGCTCAGCAAACTACACAGAATGGTACCTAGGGTCAGGCAAAGAGAGAGCTGCAGCACTCCAGTTATGGCAACCAAGCTGTGCTACTTAAGGAGAGAGGTGTTTCAGAATGATTTATCTTATGAAGATGCAGATGTCTAAAGCAGGTTAAAAGAACTATCCTTTCAAAATTGTTCATTTCGCTCCAAGCGCAGGTTGCTACCTCAGGTCTTTATCTCTACTGCTCCAGACCAAGTCTCGGGCACTACTCAAATTCTGACACACCAAAAAAAAATGTCAGTTATGTAGAGACAGGCTGCTGACAGTGGCATGACACAGTGGTGGGTGTGCTGTGTCCAAAAATGAGTTCTACTCAGCCTTGGTTCCCTGCTGCAGGAGGTTTTGTTGTGCAGTTGGGCAGTACCTCCATCCAGTGCAGTCTGGCTCAGGATGAAGCCGTCGCAGCAGGAGTCCCCACTGCAGAGCTGCCGACACAGGAGCTGAGTGTCAGTCAGCGATGCAGCAGCAGCCGAGAGCACCACGGAGCGGTACACGCCAGACAGCACGTTCTGAAAGCCAGTCCTCTCAAAGGCCTTGAGTCCAGATGAGTTAAATTCCTGTCCTGGATAGGCAGAACGGGAAAAGAATGTTCAAGAGGAGCTCAAGGGATGCTTTTGGATTGCAAGCAGACCAAAGCTGGTTTTATGAAGGTTTTATGATAAAAGCTCTGTTTTAAAAGTCCTTTTCTGGACTTTGAGTTTCAGATGCAAGATAAGATCATCAAATGGTTTGGTGCCTTTCTATCTGCATAGCTGGTCTGAATGTACTGCCAGCAAAGGGCTTCTAAACTGATGTATGCAATAAGGTTTGTAATATTCCCCTTTCAAGCACTCCATTAGTAACTCCCAAATACAAATTTGTCTCATTAAAAAAGTAAAATGTGTAATTTGGCCAGCATAACTGCATCTGCAATTAAGGTTTCTGCCAACTAGGAGGGTCACTAATAATGCCTTATATATACAAATAACAAATACTTGATAAAGAGAAATCATAATGCAACAGAGCAGAGCAGAATAGGATAATACATTTGATAGAATTAGAGTATTTGGGGACTGCTTGCTGGCAAAAGCTGTCAAAATGGTTTACTAAAGCTGTATTCCTAATTTCTAGGAAGCATGACATTGCTGTGGTTTCTGGGCTATCACTAAATGTTGAGTTCTCAAAAGTATTGTGCCTTCTTAAAAAAAGATGCTCCCCACATTTAATTGTGATCCTATATAATAGCAACTACCATCTTGGGCACAGAGTCTAATATTAGGTGAGTGATTCTCATCTGGTACCTCTCTTCAAATAGACCATCAGTGCATCTCTTTCTGGATTCCTGATACGAAGCAGGCAGCTGAGGCCACCAATGCCAGTGGCAGAAGGGTTCCCCAAAACACCTTGTACCTGAGACAGAAAACAGGCATGCACAATAAACACAACTGAATTGATTTCCTCTCCTAAAATACATTTTCTTTATTCAGAAACTCAGGGAGAGGAACTAGCACACACAGGGATTATTACCACCACAGCTTCATGTGGACATTTTTTATTCTATCTAATATGGACATTTTTTATTCTATTAAACATAACTCACTTCATCAAAGCCACATTGCTGTGTTTAGAAGTAGTGAATAGGAAAATATTACAGTGATAAAGAGCACAAAGTTCAAACTCTGGGCTAGTGGAAGGAACTTAAAAATTATGACTGTTTCAGGTGACACGATTACCAACCTGGATACTTCTAGTTTGAACTATCCAGATTAATCCTCTTTTTAAATCAGCCTGATTTCCTAACTGCAGGAGCACAGCATGTTTTAAGAACAATAGTGCTTTATGATGTTTCAACCAAACACTGAGGCATCCAGATGTCACTTTTGCAAATATCTGGGTGTAGCTTCTTTACCATCTTGCCAGAATTTATTACTGCAATAGGGAAGAGCAATGTCCAAGGGGTCAGGTAACAGCCTGCCTTTCTTCTGTGATCTTGTCCACTTATATTGAACATACAGCATTTTGATAAACACATATTTTTAAATATGATCATTCTTACTAATCCAGAGGTGGTGCAGTTGAAGTTGACTTCAGCAGTACTGTATAATTCACAGAGAACTTCAGCACCAGCAGGAGTTACAGTCGCAAAGCCACACGCATCTTCCTTCTCGCAGCCTGTAAAACAGGGAAGAAGTCTCAGGTTTCCTAGTAATTCACATGCAATATTTTTGCTTCAAATTCCACTTATTACTGCCACTTACTTAGTTGCTCAGAGTGCAAGCACGTGAATTTCATTAGCCAGATGAACTGAAGTATTCAACTATTTTAGTAGCAGGTTAAGAATTTTAAATTAACTTAAATTCATGCAAAAGGTTGTTCTTCGCCTGATAATATAAACAGTTCAGACAGAACTAATCACCCACCCAAATATTTAATGTCTGTTGGATAATTTTGCTTGAGGTAGGACTCTCATGAACCACTTTGCCAGCACATCACATCTGCCTGATACAGTAACCCCTTGGCAAAGAGGTTGTGACAGATATTGGGGTAGTATGATGGAGGGAAACATCAAATTCTTCAATCACATTGGCTGCCTCTGCAGAAACCCCCTGGCCAGTGTAAGGGAGCAACAGCCATCCCTCTCCAGATTTAGGAGCGGCTGAAGTTCCTTCTGCCCTTACACACTCACTATTAATTTGCTCCCACAGCTTTGCTCCTGGCACAGGTGAATTCTTTTCCAAATATCTTTCACATAAAATAAACCAACTTAGATCAAAACATCATCAGAAATGTAAGCTGAGCTATCTGATCTCATAGGGACTCAGAAACAGAAATATTAACCCTTACTCCTCAGACGAGCACTCCAGCAGTAGTATTTTGTAGCAGTGTCACCACTTACAGTGGATGTAACTTATAATGAAAATATGGCTATGGGCACTGAATCAGATTACTTGTCAAAGGGACATAATTTCCTCCCTAAATTCATTCTCAGGTTCTCTCAGTTCAGTTTCTTGCTTTTGAAGGTCTCCATTTTCAGAGGAAGATGCAAGAAATCTAACAGTCTACAGCTAGGGGATGATCCGGTGCAGGAAAATCCTTCTAGTAACACATATAAGGCTTCACATACTCAGTTCTTAGCATGAGAGGTGACTGCTCCAGATAGACCACAGTATGTGACACAAAGCCACTGATTTGTCAGACTTCTGTGATATCTGCCCTGCAATCAGGCAAACCTGTGTTATTACTGCCAGGGTGGTTTTTTTTGGACATGTCCCCTCTGCCTCCCTTCTAAGCCTGAGCATTAGGAGACACAAGGTGAGACTGACTCAAAGCATTCTGAAAGCAGTGAGGTGATTACCCTTGGTTTTAGAGAATTTTGAACCAACTTAAACCAGCAAATATGATGTATCCAGATGCAATGTAGTACATAGACTGCAAGACTTGGCAGAGGACTATCTTTGCACTCCTTATAATACCCTTCTGATCCAAGCAAGGATAATTATTATTCTTTTATGTGACGATCAGGTGATTTGGGAAGAGGTAAAAGGTTGGTTTTCATATATTCAGAACACCTAATCCTTCTTTTTTCTGCACATCTGCAAAGTCTGATGAATGTTTCTGGTTTAAATCTCAGCTCTCATCTGTATTGCAAACTATAGATTACTTCTTTCTGAAAGAAACACCAATCTCTTCTCTGAACCAAGGTCACCAAAAGTTGTAAATATGTTGCAGTGAATTGATGCCAAACTGCAGAACATACAGTTCATGTAGGAACTTAACTATAAGCTCATCGTATAAAAAGATTATTATTTTCCATGATGGTTAGTGTTCTCTCTACAGCTTTTATCAGAGTTTTCTCACCTGAAATGCACTGAAAATATGTACTTTGCAGGTCTCCTCCAAATGACTGAGACTGAAGAATCTGAGTTTCTTCTGATCCATAAATCAGACGGGAGGCAGGAACTCTCTCAAATTTTCTGAGCACTAAAAAAAAACAAACAAAAAAACCCCCAATCAGCTACTATTATCGGTTCCCATGCTCCAAACAGACAGATTTACATGGAAATAAAACTTGAAGAATTCTGTACAGAAAGTGGGTTACTCATTAAATGATGTACCATAACTCACAGACAATGCAGGAGACAGCTGGAGTGAGGATAGAATTTCTGCTTTGAAAAAAAAGCATTACAAGATTTTTTGAAAAACACATAGCCAGGAGTGGGCTGGGAGTTTACATCCAAGTGAGGCTTTCTCTTCCAGCAGCACACCTGCCATCTCTCATTACTTCTTCAAGACACTGAACCAACTATTGAGTCAAGTGAGGAACCAACTTTCTGCAAAACAGCCACTGAAACAAGAGCAGCTGGTTAGAAAGAAAATCTAAGAGCCTTATTGTTTCCAGGGGCACAATAGCCTCATCTCCACTGACTTCAGGATCAGGGGTATATCCAAGGTAGTATGTCCTACATGCTGTTTTATTACTCCCTCATTTTCAACTTTTAAAACCTGACTGCCACTCTATGGACCAAACAGTTTTATCTGCTCCCTCTGCAGTGGACCCACTGCACCCATGTGTAAGGACGTCTGACAAGCAGCACTATCTGCAAACCAGGAAAAGTTCATGGGGTCTAGAGACTCAAACCCCAAAGGTCATTAAATGGAGCGAGGAATCCATTTAAGCTCCAGAGGGTTTGGCCCTGGCTGTGGCCTGAAGAAGATCACAGACTGGTGAAGGGACACACAGTGCCACCACCACCCTGCTCAAGTTGCTACCGCCTGTACTACCAGGGGGGTGGGCACAGTGTGTCCATGTGTTGATATATCAGTATATTTCAGTGAGCACAGCACATTACCCCTTCTCATGGCCAGGGATTGGAACTAGACAATCTTTAAGGTCCCTTCCAACCCAAAACATTCTATGATTAAGGAAAGAACGTGGTGACACAGCATCATCCCTGTGCAAACTTCTCTAAATGCCCCAAGTGAAGGCAAACCTCTGGCTCATTGCAGCCAACACCCGGCCTAGACCTATAAGAGGTAAGAAGCAAGAGTCCTGGTCTGATCCCAGCCTGTGGGAGATGTCTGCATGTGGAAGAGCTGGAGGCTCAGCCCTTCTCCCCCCTTCACTCATGGATGCAGAGCTCCAGCCGGAGGATCACAGGCCTCTGCCCCTGAAATGTCTGGATAAACCACAAAATAAAAGCTGGAGGATCACAGGTCCCTGTCCCTGAAATGTCTGGATAAACCACAAAATAAAAGCTGGAGGATCACAGGCCCCTGTCTTTGAAATGTCTGGATAAGCCACAAAATAAAAGTCAAAGGGATAAGTTCTTAAAACAATCACTTGTACTCTTACAGCAAGACAGTCAGGACTAAATCAGAAGCAAATGTCAATTGCTGTCAGGGCTGAGTCAGCAGGTGCTTTTGATAAAACCATCATTTCTGCTTAGGAAAAAAATCAAGAGGGTTTGTCAAACACAAGAAAGTCCTGGCACTCCAGCTCAGACGGGGACAGGGAAGAATGATGGTGTAAACAGAGGTGGAAGCTTTTTCCTTCTTAGAAATACGGGGCACCGAAATATAAGCATTAGCTAAATTCTGCACTAAACTGAATCCTTTCTGCATCTGCAACTTGAAGTGATGCCTGGTTAAAAACTGTTCTCATTTCTACTGCAAAATTCAAATTACAAAATTACATTTTCAAATGTTTTTCTTCTGATTTTTTCCCCCCTAATTCTGACTTCATGCTGCCCTTACATTTTCAAGAGAAATCTTTTTTCTCTATTTTTCTCCCATATTATTGAATACAATAGGTATTAAATACAACAATATGGGAGAAAAGTAGAGAAAATATAGAAAGTTTAGTGAAATGAAACTGAAAGCATTGCAAAAATAATTTTTGAATTTTATTTTTTAATATGAAGAAAGGTACAAAAATTGCATTCATAAAGCCATTTCACAGACTAGTGTGGAGTGGAAATTCTCTGTCTCACATATTACTAGAGTAAAGCTGTAGGTCCTACTTGTGTTGCTGTAATCAGAGAATCACATAATACCCTGAGTCGGTAGGGACCAAGGGAGATCATCGAGTCCAACTTAGCCCTGCACAAGACACCCCCAAGATTCACACCATGTGCCTGAGAGCACTGTCCAAATGTTTCTTGAACTCTGGCAGGCTTCATAGAATTGTTTGGGTTGGAAGGAAACTTAAAGATCTCCTAGACCCAACCTCCATATAATAAATGTTAAGTACTAAATGTTAAGTGTAAATGTTAAGTGGCCTAAAATATAAGAAGAGAGAGAATTATGAGAATGAGCAACGGTTGTTACAGCTTATTACTGTGCTTTCATAGAAGGCAATTCTTCTTCTGCCTGAAGACTCAAAAGCCGAAGACCCAGTTGGGTTTTATTGATGCTGCCCAACCACCAACCTCCTGTCAAAGCAAGGTCAGCCTTCAGCCCCTGCTGTCTTGCTGTGTGCAGAATTCAGTTAAGGGAAATAGCAGGGGCAGGGGAAAAAGTAAAAATAGAGGTAAGCAGTTTCACTTTGTATAATGCTTTCTGTAAATGCAACATGATCTTTAAAATTAAAAAAAAAAGAAATTAAATTAGCCTGTAAATTATTTAAAAAAAGAACCAAAACCACACAAAACCCAAAACAAACAAAACCCCAAAAAACCAACCAGACTTTTTGGGTGTGCATGGGGCCCTGAACAACTTGATCTATTAGGTGGCATCCCTGCCCATGGAAGCGGGATTGGAACTAGATGATCTTTAAGGTCCTTGCCAACCCAAACTCTTTTATGATACGTTGTTGCTGGTTTTTTAAACCCAAAATTTTTAACAGTCATAAATACTTGTAGTGACATTTTGTAGCATGATCCACTAAAACAAGCACAGGTATCTAGAACTGCTCCATCATGGACAGAATCAGAAATGCCCACACAGGAAGGCTCAAGGTGAATAACAGGAGAATTGAACTCCTGAATCCTTTGCCCAGAGAAAAATCCCAGCTGCCCCGTGATCAAGAGCAACAGAGCCTCACACCTCGTGTTTATAACTGTGATCAGTTTCTAAGTATGCTCAGAGGAAAAAAAAGCTATTTTAACTGAAGACAGTTTTGCAACCTCTTCACAACTGAGGGTTTTCATTTCACACTCCTTCCACTGATCAGACTTGTCATAAGACATTGTCTAATTCAAAGCACACCATGACATCTGTTTCTAAACAGAATATCCCATTAATTTCAATACCAATCATATGATGGGTATATAAAAACTTCTGGGGAAAAGCAAAAGCTTTGAGGCTGCAAGGTGTAATCAGACCTTACTGTGGGCAGTCTGGGGACTGTTTGATGGATGACTTTGTTTTTTCAAACTTTTCATCCTCGAGAACCAGCATTTCACAGCTGTATTCAAGCGGAAGTAACCTCATCCGGCTTGCAAGGATATGTTCACCAAGGCAGATATTTTACAGCAGAAGCTGAGAGAGCGATGCTACGTTGTGCCTGTGAGATCATTGCTGAAAATAGTCTATTTCCCAGGAATACACCGATGAGGGATAATTTTACAAGGAAATTAATAATTCTGCTTCTTTCCCATTAGCGCTCTCATTATTCTTTTGGGTTTCCAAGCAGAGAGCAGGAGGTCAGCACACATCAAAAGCTGTCAGACATCTGAGAGTGCAGGAAACCTGCTTCTCTCTCTTCTCTTACCAGAAATAACTTCCCGAATGTAGTCAAGAAATTAAAAACTAAGGAGGAATGTGGCTTAAGGCAGAGGCCAGAACTAAGGGAAAGTGAATCCCCAGAAACTGTGGAGTGATTAGTCTCTTCAAAAGGACATTTTACTTATGTAGGGTCAAAACAAATCCAAAACATTCTTCTGGCACTTACCCATGCACTGGTCATCTGTAAGGAGATCTTCTGTTCCAGGCCAGTCCAGTGCTGCTCCAAAGTTATTGACACAGAAGTATTTCTTAGTGTCAGGGTCTTTCTGGGAAGGTCTATACTGGCCATCTTCATCACACTGCAGACCCTGCTCATTGCTCTGACAATATGTGATGCCTGTTACAAGTAAACAAGAAAAAAAGGTACTTTGATAATGCTGTCCCTGGGTTTCACAGGATGGCAGAGGTTGGACAGGACCTCTGGAGGTTGTACAGTCCAACCTCCCTGCTCAGGCAGAGCCACCAAGAGCTGGTTGCCAAGGACCATGTCCAGATGGCTTTAACCCATCTCCAAGGTTAGAGACTCCACAACCTCCCTGGGCAACCTGAGCCAGTGCTCAGTCATCCTCACAGTAAAAACACGGTTTCTGATATTCAGAGGGAACCTCCTGTGCCTCAGTTGTGCCCATTTACTTTGGTCCTGTCAATGCAATAGGACAATGTTTCATTGCTGTAGGACAAAAGTCCCCTTACTACAGCAGAGACTTCACTGAAAATTAAGCTAGGATTTGCACGGTGTTTTATGCTCTAAAACATGGTAGTCTGGTTGCTTTTTTGTTACTTCAATTCATGTTTCAAACATTTTTTGGATTCTCTGCCATGGATCAAATCTCTGTTGATGTATCTCCAGTACTGTAAAGCAAAGGGGTACAGAGAAGGAATTGTATTTTCATACAGGTTTGTTCAGTGTCTGCTACAGTGGGTCTGCAGAACACTCTGAACAACAGCACAAGAGCCATCATAACAATTAATTGAGAAAAACTTTTCAGACTTTGTAAGGAGACAGCAGGGAAAGAAAGAAAGCAGGAAGCTAATCTGTACAACCTGGGCTTTTGGAGAGGGCTGGTACTGAGATGCAGCACACAGGTAAGGTGGAAACTAGGAGGGGACCAGATTTAGTAAAGAAAACTCGAAGTGCAGTAAAAAAAATCCTAAAAAGGAAACTTCTAAAGACACAAGCCCAACAAATACACAGGGAATACACATGGAAATGAAGGACAACTTTAGGCAAAAACTAATTGATGTTAGGATGCATTAAAATAAAACTGGATTTCTTTATCCCACCTAAGAGAACAAATAGGTTGAAAGAGAACAAAGTAGACAATGACACACCCAAGAAATCCATTCCTGCTACTTTTATTTTTATCCATAAGCTAATTCTGCAGACAAAACTGAATTTGGACTTAATAACTGATTTTCTGTATGGAACTGCATAAAAAAATAAGTAATTTAAGTTGAAATCACCAACTTTTGTGAACATTTGAATAGTTGCTTTGTGAGAAGTGTTTGTATTTGCAGGGGAAAGAGCTGCACAAAATAAGAACACTTTAGTGTTCATGAAAGCGGCAATAAATCAACTGCATGAGACATTTCTCACTGATACCCAGATATCATTCCTGAGGACAATGAACATGTCTAAAGGAACCACAACACCCTGGATGAGACTGACCACTTGTTTCTCATGCATTTTTGGTCAAAACACCAGACAGTTTGTACTGCCTGTTCAAATGCCTTTGAATGTATGCAGAAGGGATCACATCCATCCAAAAAGGCCCAGAGGGAGGATTTTATTTTTTTTTTAACTTACAGATGAATAATAAAAAAAAAACATTAGTTATTGGAAGCCAGACTATAAAGGATATGGGAAAAAATGAGTTCAACTTACAGTGATCAGTACTGATTGCCCCATAGGAGTTGGTAGTTTTGCCCACAGGACACTTGATACAGGAGGAACGTCCTGTCTGATCCTGATAGTAGCCAAGAGGGCAGGGAATGCATTCATTGCCCTGGAAATGACTGCCTGGAGGACAAACAACTGCAAAGAGAACAATCACCTTATTACTCCTTTGGAATTAAACCAGTTTGGGCATTTGTACACATATGTGTGGGTGTGTATATGTATATATGAATATATCTTATCTTAGACTTGTCATAGGCTTCAAGCTTTTAATATATGTATTTCTAAGTGGTATAACAAGGGTAAACACTAAACTCATCAATGACAGGAATACAGGCTGTGGTCTGTTTTCCCAGATCACCCTAAACTTGTTCTTGAATTAGTGCACATGAAGCTGCTCAGAAATGCCAAATCCAAGCCTGATTTCCATTTGTCAAATCCATTTGTAATAAGATAATGCACTTTGTAGATAAGCTGTGAATGAAAACAAAGGAAGACAAGCTACAGAGCAACTTCTAACACTACAGACAGAAACAGGAAAGTTCCTTGGAGTAGAAACTCCAAAACCATCATACAGAAGCCCACCATATGGTATCACTTTCATTCAGAATTCCTGGTAACGAAATTTTTGTTAAGTACTTCCAAACTAAACAGTAATGGCTGGATTAAGAGTCACTAGTTGTGCACATGACAACCCAAACACAAACCAAAAAGATGTTCTTAGTCCATATAGATATGATTTTCAAAACAATCAGGAGCAATATTTCCAGCTGACTTGTTGCCTATTATGAAGAAAACTTTCTTCTGGGATGTCATGGAATACTGTCTTTCCCTCCAGAGCATTCAAATGAACATTAAAGCAGAAGAGTCACGGACACATTTACAGGACAATACCTCTACTTGTTATTTCACAGCTGCTTTCCAGATGTAGATTTCCTTCAAAACACTATCAAATGTATATTTTGGGACTTGGACAAGGTGTAAAACCTAATTTCTTTTTTTGCCCTGCATCTTGGCAGCAGTTTAAGCTTGCATGAGCGAGAAACACTAATGGAAAATTGGCCATCCTCACTACAACCCATTTGATGAATTGCTGTTCTGGCCAACACACCAGAATGTAAATTAATTTAACTTATAGGAGTACCTAAATTATAATAGACTAAAAAGACAGCTAGTAGAAAAATTATCATATCTTCCTTCATCTGCTGTAAATGGTCCAATGGGAAGGTCTAGGATGATACAACTGTGAGACTGAAATTTTCCTTCCAAGTACATATCAAGGGAATTACTCTAGGTAAAACACATATCTAAAATCAATTACACTACGTAAAAAAATCCTGGATTATACATAATTCTCCTTTCACAAGCACATTATTTAATACACAAGAGTGTCTGATACATTTTAAATAGTTTCCAACACATGAAAAAAGGATCATACTCATTGCAAATGAACAACAGTGGAAATTAAAATGAAATGAGCAATCCATGCCTAAATTGAAGACAAAAGCAAAGAATGAGGGAGACTCATTAGGCAATTACAGTTTAAAAAGGAACAAATTAAGCTTTTCAAACCTGTTTTCATAGTTTTAATCACAATGTGAAAGAAACATCTGTGTCTCCTATTATATTTAAGCAAGTAAAATTCCCTTTCATCTCACACATTACATTGGCAAAAGGACACAAAGAGCAGTAAAAAGTCTTGGTGCAGAGACACATTTTTTAGACTCTGTAACTCTTGGAGGCAGCTGTACTTTCAGCCCCAAGTAACATTCAACACAATCCCATAGAAGTTCAGTTCGATCCTAGTAGTCAGACAAATCACCACATTGTACTTCTTTCAAGCTTTAACATGCATACATTCTGACAGTATAAGAAAGTAGAGAACAACTTTGAGCCAATATCTCAGAGCTGGTTGTTAGCACTGGGCCCAAGCTTTGTATCCCTAAAATAGGAAAAAAGAAAATCAAATATAGAAATAAAAATAAACTCCAAATTTAATCCCTTGCTCCTGCACAGGAAATTTAGAACCTGGTCTCACTTCTAACTAGATTCGAGCTTCTGTGTACCAGGGGAACAACTTGTTCAGTAGCAAAATCCAGGCTACAGAGCAACTCACTGGAGTGACTGCACAGGGACACCTCAGTTCACAAGAGCCTTCTTTTACTTAAGATTAGCTCTCACTACACTAAGCAAGATCAAAACCTGTCACAACTGATCATTGTCCAATGCTCTTTCCTCCCTGCAGAGATACTGGAAAACTTTGGGATACCAGATTCTTGATCTAGACTATTAGAAATGAAGTCTTGAGCTGCTGGCTCAGCTATAAATCTAGTATGTTCTTTGATTTGGGTTATGTTCTGCTCAAAACAACTCTGATAGAATTGCCAAGCATCTTAAATAATAAAAGGGACCAGCATAAAAATTTATAATAAAACAAAGCTAAATTACAAACTGTCTTCAGGCTTTCTCCTGAAATAAATAGGGGTAGAAGAGTTATGTTTCTAAAGTTCTCCTAGACAGTTTCCAACTCTCTTCTTTTTGTCTCATACCTTAGCAAAGAAAGTGTCTTTTGTCTCATCAAAATTTAGCTAAAATAAAACTTTTACCTCCAACTCTTAAGGAGTTATATTCATAAATACCTGTGGTATAATGTAGCTCACTCTAAGACTGACACTAAGAAAAAAAGTCACACAAGAAAAACTAAAACATGACAAATGTGTTAGTTGCAGGTAGGAAAACATGAAACAAATCTACAATAAATGCAAACCTAAATAAAGAGATGACTTTAGAGGAAATACATGAGATGAAGAAGCAGATTCATGTAAGCTGTATGTTCCTAGATGAAAATATTAAGCTTATTGAGACCACCAGAAACTTGTTGTTACTAAGAGCTGGCCACATCTCCTGAATGAAAGGCAAATTACATCGATCGTGAAATAAAACCAAACCAATTAAAAAGATCAGGATCTGAAAACCCAATTTGTATTTCAGCAACAAGTTGGAGCAGGAAAGGGAAGAGAATAAAGAATCTCTGTCGCCCTCACACAACTTTGGTTTCTGTAGTCACAGGTGATACTTCCTACTGATATAGTCTCCAGTAGAGACACAGATCCAGACAGGATGAATGACCAGGATATATCCAGATAGACAGATAGACAGCTGGTGTGGAGGATTGTGGACCAGAGCAGAACTTAAAGGGTTACCGAAGCAGAGGACATTGCCAGAACGGAAGAGAATGTGGCAGAAGGTGGGAAGTGTCTACAAGGTGCGTGGAGCCAAAGGTCATGTGACACAGAACAAGATGATTGAAGAAAAGAAGAAAGTGTGTTGAAAGCTGATAGGTGTAAAGATGGACATTAGTTGTTGATAGGTAGAAACATGCATACTGTAATTTTATAGGGCCAAGTATTGCTTGTTGATAGGTTAAAGATGAAACCAGTTCTTCTATAAATAGAGGCCTGAAATAAATGATAGATGATACTCTTGCATCACACCAAGGGAGTCTGTGCCTTCAGTCGCTACAAGATAGATAGACAGATCTTAGAGCAACCAGAACCTAAATTCCCTGTTCAGAATAAAATATGCAGTCCTACTACACAAACCACTGTCCAACAGCAGGTACACCATGACAGGTTAGAGTACGAAAGCTCTGCCTAAAGCTCTGCCAAAAGCTGGACCAGAAACTGTCTCCTTTCCGCATCTCTATAATGTCTGTTTTCTGACTTTTTCCACAGCCAGCTCATTCAAATACATATGAATTAACTCACAAGGTGACTAAATTCACTGCTTCCCAGAGGCCTTTATCCTTGGCAGTAAATATTTGGCAGAAAGATCCAATTCTTTGTAAGTTCTGCTCTAAGTGATGGATTCTACTTAAAATATAATGATACCACCAATCTGTACAACACTACATCTTGTTAAGTAGCTGCAAGTTGTTACAAACTCTGGATTCTCAGTAGGAATTAATATTTTTTTTTTGCATGAATTTACCCTTAAAGGTCCAAGCTGGAACCTGCAGCAGTTGAGAACTGATTCATCACTTGATTACCTTGCCCAGGCATCAGGAAATTCCCTGAACTTAAAGAGAAACATCACACCAATCAGGGAGCTAAGTCGTATTCTGGTTTACTCTTAGGGTCTCTAACTTAAGCTGCATAGTGTTGAAGTTCTCCCATCTGAAAATATTCCCCACATTGGAAAACCTATCCAATACCTGCTGTTGTTGTCTTACACATACTCGTGGTACAGCTCTCCTCTGTTCTCCCCCTCCAAAAAAAGGTAGACATAGTGAATACACCCCAAACTGGTATAAGTAAGACACAGACTCATGGAGGACAGCTGGGCCAACAAGACCAATCAGGGTTGCACTGCAGGAGAGCTGGTGTTGATAGAAACAAGAATAGAGCTTTTTAAGTCAAAGGCAGCTTGTCAGCATGAGCTGGTACCCAGGACAGCCAGACAAAGCCATGGGGAACCATGGAAAAGGTAGGTTTGGCAGCCCTAAGCAGGATTTTGACAGAAAGGCAGCCTGTTCCAGGGAAGCAGACTAAACAGAAGGAAAGGAGAAGAAGAAAAGAGGGAAGAAGTGTAGTCAGGTCTGGGTGTTGGCCAACACTGAGAAAGCTTCCATCTGAGCAGTCTGGACTTGGCCCAGGAATTCATAATCTCAGGACTTTTGCCATTTCAGCATCTAGGTTTCTATTCTAGGTAAGGTACCATCATCTGAAGCACTGGCTACATTATCTTTGTGAAATCCTCTTATTAAGGATCACAAAAACTACAGAATTACTATTATGAGACAGATCTAAAATAATCCCCAAAAATTTTTGCAAAACCTTCTGTACAGTGCCAGTGCCATGATGCCTATTCCAAACCATTGGTGCAACACAAGGACTGAACAGTAAGCAAAGCACTAATTCCCATCTCTCCCCAAATTTATCATTAAAGTTGGTGCCTCACACCTTTCACATATGAACCATAAACAAAAGTGAAACAATTTTCTAACTTCAGCTTACACTGATTCCTGACAACATCCAAGAATGGAAAGCTTAAGTGAGACATACCACATCCTTGCAATTTTGGGACTGCTTTCCCAGGAGATGAAATTCTTCGAAACCCACTTCTACATCCTAGCTGCACACGTGGAGACAGATCAAATGCTTCATCCCGGGGAAAATCAATCACAGAATCTGCTAGGAACTGCTTGGAGTCCAAATGCAGCAGAAAATCACCATCCTTTATCTCTTTTATAAATGCTCCAATGAGATTTTCCCCAACAATTGCATTTTCTAAAGAAGGGAAAAACACAACAAAATAGCATGAAAGACATTTCCAATATGGGAATAGATAACCACACAGAAAATGATGAACATAAAGTTAAAAACATAGGCAAGTGCAGAAATACAAGCATTTTAACAAACAGCAGACCAAAATGAATCTGTACAGTGTCTATCAAATTAAAGCCTTAATTTGCTCACTGTTCTTGAATACACCAGAAAACACCTTAAACAGAAAGACTCAAAGCTGCCTTAGATGGTAATGGAAGTTGGAACATAAAGGAAGTTGATGGTGCCGTGACTAGAGCTCTGTCTCTTCCAAAACCATACAGTCATTCCCTGAAAAAACAATTTTAGTAATACAGGGAGCTTATAGTCTGGAGAGGGTCAAAAAGGTAATGCCCTCAAAGAGGGACACTTTAAAAAAAAATTTAATATAAAATTTAATATAAAACCAAAACTGAACACAGGATTTGAAGTGTGGTCTCACCAGTGCTGAGTACAGGAGGACAGTCCCTGTTAAGGCAGCTGGGAGAGGCACTGCTATATGAAAAAAAACATTGAATTATGGCTCATTTCCANGCATACTGTAATTTTATAGGGCCAAGTATTGCTTGTTGATAGGTTAAAGATGAAACCAGTTCTTCTATAAATAGAGGCCTGAAATAAATGATAGATGATACTCTTGCATCACACCAAGGGAGTCTGTGCCTTCAGTCGCTACAAGATAGATAGACAGATCTTAGAGCAACCAGAACCTAAATTCCCTGTTCAGAATAAAATATGCAGTCCTACTACACAAACCACTGTCCAACAGCAGGTACACCATGACAGGTTAGAGTACGAAAGCTCTGCCTAAAGCTCTGCCAAAAGCTGGACCAGAAACTGTCTCCTTTCCGCATCTCTATAATGTCTGTTTTCTGACTTTTTCCACAGCCAGCTCATTCAAATACATATGAATTAACTCACAAGGTGACTAAATTCACTGCTTCCCAGAGGCCTTTATCCTTGGCAGGAAATATTTGGCAGAAAGATCCAATTCTTTGTAAGTTCTGCTCTAAGTGATGGATTCTACTTAAAATATAATGATACCACCAATCTGTACAACACTACATCTTGTTAAGTAGCTGCAAGTTGTTACAAACTCTGGATTCTCAGTAAGAATTAATATTTTTTTTGCATGAATCTGCAGTCAATTTACCCTTAAAGGTCCAAGCTGGAACCTGCAGCAGTTGAGAACTGATTCATCACTTGATTACCTTGCCCAGGCATCAGGAAATTCCCTGAACTTAAAGAGAAACATCACACCAATCAGGGAGCTAAGTCGTATTCTGGTTTACTCTTAGGGTCTCTAACTTAAGCTGCATAGTGTTGAAGTTCTCCCATCTGAAAATATTCCCCACATTGGAAAACCTATCCAATACCTGCTGTTGTTGTCTTACACATACTTGTGGTACAGCTCTCCTCTGTTCTCCCCCTCCAAAAAAAGGTAGACATAGTGAATACACCCTAAACTGGTATAAGTAAGACACAGACTCATGGAGGACAACTGGGCTAACAAGATCAATCAGGGTTGCACTGCAGGAGAGTTGGTGTTGATAGAAACAAGAATAGAGCTGTTTAAGTCAAAGGCAGCTTGTCAGCATGAGCTGGTACCCAGGACAGCCAGACAAAGCCGTGGGGAACCATGGAAAAGGTAGGTTTGGCAGCCCTAAGCAGGATTTTGACAGAAAGGCAGCCTGTTCCAGGGAAGCAGACTAAACAGAAGGAAAGGAGAAGAAGAAAAGAGGGAAGAAGTGTAGTCAGGTCTGGGTGTTGGCCAACACTGAGAAAGCTTCCATCTGAGCAGTCTGGACTTGGCCCAGGAATTCATAATCTCAGGACTTTTGCCATTTCAGCATCTAGGTTTCTATTCTAGGTAAGGTACCATCATCTGAAGCACTGGCTACATTATCTTTGTGAAATCCTCTTATTAAGGATCACAAAAACTACAGAATTACTATTATGAGACAGATCTAAAATAATCCCCAAAAATTTTTGCAAAACCTTCTGTACAGTGCCAGTGCCATGATGCCTATTCCAAACCATTGGTGCAACACAAGGACTGAACAGTAAGCAAAGCACTAATTCCCATCTCTCCCCAAATTTATCATTAAAGTTGGTGCCTCACACCTTTCACATATGAACCATAAACAAAAGTGAAACAATTTTCTAACTTCAGCTTACACTGATTCCTGACAACATCCAAGAATGGAAAGCTTAAGTGAGACATACCACATCCTTGCAATTTTGGGACTGCTTTCCCAGGAGATGAAATTCTTCGAAACCCACTTCTACATCCTAGCTGCACACGTGGAGACAGATCAAATGCTTCATCCCGGGGAAAATCAATCACAGAATCTGCTAGGAACTGCTTGGAGTCCAAATGCAGCAGAAAATCACCATCCTTTATCTCTTTTATAAATGCTCCAATGAGATTTTCCCCAACAATTGCATTTTCTAAAGAAGGGAAAAACACAACAAAATAGCATGAAAGACATTTCCAATATGGGAATAGATAACCACACAGAAAATGATGAACATAAAGTTAAAAACATAGGCAAGTGCAGAAATACAAGCATTTTAACAAACAGCAGACCAAAATGAATCTGTACAGTGTCTATCAAATTAAAGCCTTAATTTGCTCACTGTTCTTGAATACACCAGAAAACACCTTAAACAGAAAGACTCAAAGCTGCCTTAGATGGTAATGGAAGTTGGAACATAAAGGAAGTTGATGGTGCCGTGACTAGAGCTCTGTCTCTTCCAAAACCATACAGTCATTCCCTGAAAAAACAATTTTAGTAATACAGGGAGCTTATAGTCTGGAGAGGGTCAAAAAGGTAATGCCCTCAAAGAGGGACACTTTAAAAAAAAATTTAATATAAAATTTAATATAAAACCAAAACTGAACACAGGATTTGAAGTGTGGTCTCACCAGTGCTGAGTACAGGAGGACAATCACTGCCCTGGCCCTGCTGGCCACACTATTCTTGATACAGGCTACTATTCTTGATATACCCACAGAGGGTATTTGAACCTGGGATATGTTTTCTGTATCTTTTATTTTAAAGGAAAACAGTGATTGCTTTGAAAGAATTTCCTTACACCATCCCTAACTTGCATGGAAACCACAGCAAAGATCTGTCAGTTGGTGCACAGTTGCTCTAGGATATCCAAGGTAAGGGTCATTCTTTAGTGTCAAAGGCAATGCAATCAACAGAAAAAGGGGGGAAAGAAAAAAAAAAAGAAAAAAAACAACTTAGAAGAAATTATTTAAATTTTTGGCAACACGTGAACTGTGTTTCTCTGAGTACAATGAATAAGAAACACAATCTTTTCCATCACTGAGGACATGATCGATGGAAATGAACATCTGGGACAGTTCAGCTCATGCCCAATAAAGTAATTTTCAGTCCCTGTTAAGGCAGCTGGGAGAGGCACTGCTATATGAAAAAAAACATTGAATTATGGCTCCTTTCCACTGTGTGGTCACAGCCTGAAAGGAGAAATACATCAACACCAAAATCTCAAAAACACAACACCAGTGTAATAAAGGCAGTGAGCATTTATAATTCCTAAGAGCGGACACAGGGAAGCAAAACAACTAAAAGCAAATCAGGTTTAATCCACAGAAATATCCGAGGAAGAAAAACTCACCAATATCATGTAAGTCAGGGAGAGAAGCTGTCGGGATGTTTTCCAGCTGAGTCCTCCACGTGACATTCACTCCCAGGCGGTCTGTGCTCAGGCATTCAACATAGACAGTGGAATCATCACAGACAGAAACTGAGCCAGTATTCCCAAATGCATTTACCTCGAATTCAGAATCAAATGAAACCACAGTTAGTCAACCTGAGAACTTTCTGGTTCTGGCCTAGCAGTATACCATGCTCAAAAGTAACATTTACAAAAGGGACTGTAAAAACAGAGGCAAAAAAATATAATTTTAGCAAGTCATTTACTCACTGTTAGAATAGTCAAAATACTCTCTTCCATTTAAACAAATTTTTCATAAATTCTGGATTGATGTGATATGACTTCTTGGCTAGAACTAAGCTGATCTGCCGATGTGGTGTCAGTGAGACTAGAACTCCTATTTTCCCACTCATCTATATGAGAGTGCTGCCAATCCTGACAGATTTCATGGCATGTTCTGTTCTTCCACCTCTCTCAGGCAGGCAAAGGTCTATGTTGTGTTTCTTGTTTTTTAATATTAAAAAACCCAACCAAAGAAAACAAAAACAAACAAACAACAACAATAAAACTCTAACACCAATAGAGAATAAGGAATTTAAATTACCTGAAGGTGACATAAACCACGAGCCTTCAACTCATCTAAAATAAATATCTGAAATGCCTGGAGTAATCCAGAGTAGTCAGAACTACATGTATTCTCAGGAGGCAGGAGTAGTTGAAAGTGTGTTTGAGCTTGGACTGTCTGGAATAATTGGAGCTCTAAAATTAAAGTAGAAAGGGTATTTAGTAACCTCAATAATGAATAACCTGACTTTCAGCGTTACTTTGAGGAAAGACAACATTGATTTGACATTCTCACATTGTATCAATAGTATCTTCCCACTTTTAGGTGAAAGTACTAGAGTTGTCGGTCGTAAATAATAAGTAGCAAGAGACAAGCTTGATAAATATATATGTTGTGCATTAGGGAAAAAGCCAGGTTATACAGTTATATAATAATAAAGAGATGTTTTACACTGGAGCTCTAACTCACAGAAGGGTAAGGAACAATTTGGATCATTAATGATGATTTTTCACAAGCCTTAACAGATAGCAATTTCCAGAGAACTAAATGAAAGCTGACATTATGCCAATACTTCGAAAAGAAAGAGGAAGACAAGAATTATTGGCCTGTCTACTTTCACTTTTCTTACACACAATCATGAAAACGCTCATATTAAAAAAGTAATTAAATGGTGAAAACAATTGTAACTAATTCCAACGGGGTTTTGCTTGTCAAACTAACTGGGAATAAGCTTTAGGAGAGAATTAATTTGATTGCATAATGATGGCATTGACATGGATGACTAAGAAGAGCCTTCTGATAGCTTTTTGATAGCAAACCAAAATGTTGCAAATCACACAAATCGATGAGAAATCTGTGAGCTCATCAGTCACAAAATGAAAATCTATTTAGTCAGTTTTTAGCAAGAGAAAAAAAGATGCAAATTTCTTGTCTCCCCTGGAGTAACTCTGATCCCAGGCTTCATGGGGGGTTTGTTACCTCAGATTCAGCACAACTGTCCTGCTGTCATTGCACCTCCAAAGGGAGCTGGCTTTTATCCCACCAGCCTGAACAAGCAGCAGAGCTCTCCCTCATTCACCTCCTCTACAGGCTCTCACTGCATCACATACAAGTGCCATTGCTGGAGCACAATTCCCAATCTCTCACCCCAAAAACGAGCGTGGGAAAGCCTGGAAAGCTTCCAAGGAGAATGATGGGAGAGACCAGAGGACACAAAAACCTGCTTCTTCCTCCAAGGCACGAAGCCCTCTCTCTGGTTAGTGTATCGGAGAGTATTTAAGAGCTGATTTAACCACAATCTCTACATGTATACATAAAGAACAGGCAATAAGATTTTTAAAATTGTGGACAATTATCCATTGGAACTAATTGCTAAGTGTTTTGGTGAATTCTCCATTATTGTGAAGTTAATTCAATCACCTTCTGATGTGTTGGTAATTTTTTCTCTCTCCTTAAAACCAAATTATTGGGGGAAGTCCTTGGCTTACATTAAACTTTATAGCAGATTGTCACATAGTCCCCTCTGGCCTTACAAAGTTATTCAACTGCCATCAGCAAATATGGAAGTTATTTCATAGCTTGCTAAAAAATCTAACAAACACAGTCACAGACAGACAAAAGTCTCAGTCTGAAATTTTAAAGCTTAAAAACATTTGCATCTGGAATAGAAGACCTGAGTACAATTGGAAATGTGATAATATAAGAGTCCTAGAATGAGTTTAATCCATTCTGGAGATTGATTAATGGGTTTAACCTACTTTGAAAATGAAAAGTAGCTGCAAGCTAGACAGCAAAATCTGCATTTCTCAAAGTCCAGCACTGCTATAAATTGCCATTTTTGATCAGAAAATGTCTCTATTTGAAATAATTGAAAAGGTCAACATTAGTACCCAAGTACATGAGTTCTGAATACACAACCAATTCTTCCAAGAATTAAAGTGACATTTTTTTCTCAAAAGCAAAATGGTTTGAAAAACACCAAAAGCCAGTGAACAAAGACAACAATAATCCTAAAGAACAGGCTGCTGCTGCAAAAAAGATGCAAATGTAACAGTGACTTGATTATGCAAATAAACAGTCGAGTTCTGCCAAATTCAAACATCTGGCGCTCATCTGGTCTTCCAGGACTAAGTAGTTCCATCAGAATTACTTATGGTGCCAGCATCTTTTAACTAACAAAGAAAAATCTGCAAATAGATTGAATAGCTATTTATAGCTATATTATTACAGGCAAGCAGAGCTGTTTCTGGCACAGGGGCCAGCCAAGAGCCAGAGGTGAGGATGGCAGAAGACAGGACCAAACAACTTCACCTCAATTTAGCAACCCCCTTATAACTGTTACGCCCTATTATTGTCATTCACACAGCAGCTTTCTGATGAAAGCTGATTTTTGTGCATCTGTTTACTCTGCTCTGAGCCCTTCCCAACCCCCAGCAGCTCTGACATACTCTGGCAGGCCTGGAGGAGTGGGGCAGCCTGGACCCACCGCCGTTGCTGCACATCACACTGGAAGGAGGTGCTGGAAGAGGCACTGTGGAAGCCCTGACGACACACCAGCTGGCACTGCTGGACACCTGGAGCTTGTCCAGAAATGTTTTCACAAAGTACAGCTCCATTGGGAATAGACGAGGCACCGAAGGGCAGAGCACACTGTGGACCTTCACGTGAGAAAGGAGATATGTGTTAGTGGCATAATATTATGACTTCTAGTAAAAAGTCCACAAAACCTTCATATCAGCAGGGAAAACCTAGACTCTTTGCATTTCCCACTCAACAGCTTGGATCTGGTTTGAGGTCAGCATGGTTCAGTTTACTGAAGCTGAGGAAAAGGCACATTATTGGCTTTGATGGGTAATGCATTGGGTCCAGAAAGGTATGTGTATGGTTTCTAAGAACAGATACATTTTAAACAGCCATGAATAAACTTAAGCAGGAAATGAGAAGGAGATTTCTAACCATCAGCAGAACAAACCTTTACAAAAGATATCTAGTGGAAACAGGCAGAGCCAAAAAAACCTTATCTCAATTCCCTTCAGACTAAAGTCTGAAAACTTTAAGATCAGGAGCTCATGACTGTGGTGTCTTCAAGAACACCAGGATGTTTCTAGTGACCAAGCAGATCAGCATATACAGTTTATATATATAGAAATAGTAGTATACAGCTTTGGAATTGGAGCACAGTTTTTCCTATCAACTCACTCTGCATCAGTACAGTCATTCCAATCCTGCTACCCCACTGTAACAGACTATTTTTGCAGGTTAACTACAATGATAATTCATTTCTACTAATCAGAACAAACCAAGTGCTTCACTCAGTATTAGCCAAATCCCAATCGAGCTACTAAACATATCTGGTAATAATTAAATATTTATGAGTTCTAGAGCTACAAAACATAGGAATAATAGAGAACTTCCTTGTTTAGAAATAAATATCAAGAAAAAGATGTTATCATACAATTCACTTGCTTGGTGTATACATAGATCATTTTCCACATTGCAGTGCTCAGATCAGCCCCAAAATCCCTAGTCACTGGAGGGAGGTAAACATTGATGATAGTTCAGGTCTGATTCTCCCTCTCCCCTTCTGATGGAGATAGGAAGATTAATTCCATAACTTAGCAGCCACCTCGGTTAAAGCTTAAAACAATGCAGGATGAATCTGGGATACAGTGTGTTCAGCATATCTTTGTTTTCAAACCCTGTGTATTTCAATGACAAAATAAAAGGCTTTCATATCTTGCTGAATATCCAAATGCATATTTTTTTCTAAGTCTCCTTTATAGCATCATTTCTGCAAGAACTCTGTTAATGTGGCCACTACATTCCTTCGCTTCACTCACTGACTCTGTAGCCAGACTCTTTTTCTCAGTAGAGGTGGAAACCTGGCATCCTTGCTTTAACAAACTTTTAATAAATCTCCCAAGATTTTAGGACCAAAAAGATATCACTGTAAAAGAGACAGTAATACTTATCCTGACCATGTAAACTACATCCGCAGTCATGCGTTAATTACATTAACATCTCTTTATACAAAGTGTGTAAAAACCATCCTGTGGTTTCTTAATTGCTCTAACACGTTTTTATATCCAGCAAGTCATATCCAGTCTCAACTGTATGCTGCCACAGCCTTTTACTGTCTGTTCCAATGAGATTTGTCTTACAAACCAGGGAAATAACTACCCCTCAAAACTCAAGAGATAACGGTTTCCTGCTGTGGTTTAGAGGTTTCAGTTCACCACCACTAATGTGCTCATTTATCCCTCTACAGATGTCACTTCATTTACTTCTATTATCAAGCCTGCACCATTTTGTGATTCTTCTGTTTCTTGGTCCTGTAGGAGTGAATCATGATCCAGTTGAATATTGACACTTCTTTCACAGGTGATTCTAAAGATTTCCACAAGGAAACTAACATCTCCAGGACCTTCTCTGGAGACCTTTCTCTCCTCTATCTCTACTCAGAGTTGTGGGCAGTGGCACGAGGATGGGAGACGCCTGTGAGGACTGCAAGAATACTTGGCATCGTCCCTCCAGTGCATGTCAACTAGAAGAAGTTGGATTCTACCTCTGATGGAAATGATTAAACTAATGAAAAACTTGCTTGCACTGGGCACTGAGGATTATTACTTTCTGTTTACAGCTGTCTGTTCTGATGCTGAAGAAGAAGTTTATCATATATTCCCACCAAAACAGTTTCTTTTCCTGATAGACAAGTAGTGAGAGATTATTCCTTTTTCCTGAATGATTATTGGTAGTTCTCGGGACTAGAGGTATAAGGCTGGATAGACTGAGGAGAAAAGTAACTTTTTCTTCTTTATTTTTACACAATTACTAAGTTGTTTATCATGAAAAGTTCCATTGTTATTTCAAAATCCAGAAAAATAATTAAAAATTATTTCAATCTCTATGCAGAAAGTAACAAATAGCTTTCAGTTAAGCCAGGTTTCCACTATATTTTCAAAGAAGTTCTCCCTCTCAGCTCAGTCTTTGAAAAAAGAAAGGTCATTAATCATTCAGTCAGTGTTTCCTCTAGGAAAAGTACAGCATTACAGAATCCCAAAAAACAACAGATATGCACCCAAAATGTAAAATCATCTTAAAGGCATATCTTGGGGTACACCTACATCCTCCTTAGAACATATTCCATAAATTCTGTTGGAATTCAGGGGGACATCTAGAAAATGAGCTTTCATGGAGAGAAGAAGATATCAAGGACTTAACATTTACAACTAGTTTGAGTTTTTTCTGGAGCTCATCTCCTCAGAGCTTGGATGGGCATCTCCACACAACACCACAAGCATGGGGCAGATACAACCATGAGGTCTCCTTCTGGCTTCTCATAAAATCCTATCCTCCTAACTCTCCTTGAACAAGAGAGTTCAAAAAAAATTATGTTGGTGGTGGTTTCCAAGTTGACTGAGCAGCTGCCTAGTTGATTAAAACACCTTACAGGCAGCTGGGTAGACAAAGGCATTTGTATCATAGGATTGTAGAATCATTAAGGTTGGAAAAGACCTGTTAAGATCACTGAGTCCAGCCATTAATCCAGCACTGCCAAGTCCACCACTGAACCATGACCCCATATCAGACTCACTATAGGAAACTTATCATATGGTCTCCTTTCCCTACATTGTTGCCAAAAAAAGCCCAAACCAAACCGAACAAAATCAAACAAACAAAAAGAAATCCCACCAACAAAAGGACTATGGAAACAGCAGTGTCCTGAAGACACTAGTTGAAGGTTTTCTTTTTACATCTTTTTACATTACTTTCCACTAACCACTACACTTTGGAGCACAGCCTTGTAGAAAGTTTAATTAATTTTGCTACACTTTAGTGATGGGAAGATGTATAAAGAGCCACTGCAAATTAAATTTATTCAAATTCCTCCCATTTGGACATCTCACTGGAAACCCTGAGTGAATTCCAGTGCTTCACAGCTCCGGTCATGCAGGAAATACTCTGTGAATATGTAGCATTTTGGCACATCCTTTTCACAATTCTGGTCACAAGTCAAGAGTTGGAATGGTAGAAGCATACATTTTTCAAATTTTATTTCAGTCAGCTGAATGGTTTTTAATCCCAGAGCCAGCTCAGACTGGAACAGATTCAAGTTTGCAGCAAGCTGTTCAGATTGACTTTATAGCTGGGTTTTATAGCTCAACTGGTTTGATTCAACCAATTTTATGAATAAAAAGATACAGTCCCTTCTCCTTTTTCCCTGACAAAGCACCTGAAGAAAACTGGACATCATGCCCAGGCAGGTCTGGGCAAAGATAAGCATGTTGCTTGAGCAAAAGTCTCTACAGGTCTGAAGAAATAGGATTAAATACAACTAAAGAGTGGAAAAATTTAGGATCTGGGTTAAGTTCCAGACCTGGATTTGCTCATGTACCTCAAGCAGGAACTCACTTGCACATGCTGGTCTTCCTCCACTCACTTGTGTCCCTGGCACCTCCTCTCCATTGTCAAAGACACACCAGCAGCTCTCCTGATCCTGGCTGCACTGCACAGGTGAGAAACTCCCGTCCTCCCCTTCACACTGTGGGATGTAGCCTTTGGCAGAGTCTCGTGAAACAGCTTTAGACTTCAGCATATTACAGAAACTGGGACCTTTAAAGAGAGAAATTCATTGCAAGTTACAGAAGAGAAGACAATAAATTGTCCTAAAGGTTTTAACAGCAGTGCTGTCAGACTGTTTTGTTAGAAGGAAGAAAGATGAGTGATCATGAAACTATAAATAATTTTAACTATTACAGAAATGGGAAATTTTACTTCCACTAGAAAACACATTTTTTTCCTAAAGAATAAAGTGTAAGTTATATGCATTTACATGAATAAAGTAATTGAAAAAATTCTGTTATTTTTTTTCCATAAGTTTCATAGTATATCATTTAGACACTGATATTTAAAAGGTTAAAAAAATCAAACCAACCTTTTTATCAAAAATTTTTGATCCAGGTAATCTTAAATGTAACAATATGATCATTTATTTTTTAAAACAGTTAATATGTCCTAGTTTCATACCTACAAAACTGGGGGGAAAAACAGCCATGAAAAAGCAATATTTATGGTCTCCCACAAACACACAAAACAGGGACATGAGCGAGCAGAACCACCCCCCGACAAGAAGATCCAAAAAGTTCAATCTGAACTTGAGACAATATTGTTCTTACTAATTTTGTTTGCAGAAAACCACTAGCTAAAGAACTGCAGAACAAGCACAGCAGAACTGTGAGCTCTTGGGCTGCCTGTACTGTTCAGAAGAGTAGACCCAGGGCACGGGCTCCAATAGAGCATCTCAATTCATGCAAACAGCAATTCTTTAACTTCTTGAGTCGACCACCTCTTATGAGACTTCAACAATTCTCTGTCTTTATTTGAAGACAATAAAAAAGTACTAAAGGCCAAATTCCATTCCATAAAGCGGTTGAGGACCATGCCAAGTGGACTCAGTGCCTGCATGTGGCCTAGTTCCCACAGCTCAGAATTCACTCCCTTAGAAAAGTCTAAGAATTTTCTCTGGTGGTAGGAAATGGAAGGTAAAAAAATGGATAGCAGCCTGTCCATCAGTTTGTCTAAACTAGTTTATTTCTAGTGTTATGAAAGTAAGGGGTAATTATTTTCAGACACCCTTTCAGTGTTGGTGTGCTTGTATGTACTGTGTCACTGAGGAATTAAACTACAAGCCTCCCATGTTTCACAGGCAGCGTTCTGAAAAGGGAAGCACATATGCTGCTAAGCATGAGGCATCTCCACAAGCACCACAGGTGGTGGGCAAAGCATTACTCACACTCAGGATTGCCATCCAAGGCTTTGCTGCCACGCTGAAATATTTCTCCTGACGCAGGATTCACACACCAAATACCTGTGTCAGATCTCTGTAGCACAGCGTATTCGCCTGTCTAAAAAAAAATCAAGGACATGTCATTGTAGAGTAATGCATTTTAATACAGTTATGCCTCAATCCATACCCCAAAGGTTGGTTAAAATGTTTTATTTATTTACATTATTTATTGTCTTTATTTTTTTGTATTTTTATTGTACTAATTTTCCATTAATATAACATATTGAAAAAAATCAAAAAATACAATCTACCTAATTTAATACATAGGCAAGTCCCCGAGAGAATCAAGAATCCCTTAGGTTGGAAAAGACCTCATCAAGTCCAAACATTAAATAGGATGCAAACTAAAAGCCCATTGAGATGAAGTTCTGGTAAAATCCTGGATTGAAATGTGCTCTAAAATGTGCAGATGTGGTGCTTAAAGATCTGGTTTAGTGGTAGACTCCACAATGTTGGGGTAATAGTTGGGCTTGATGATCTCTGAGGTCTTCCAACCTAATGATTACATGATTCTATATGATAACGATTCTATTACATGAAATCTCTGTTCTTGCCCATCTCTATCCTGCTCAATGTCACATTTTGAGAGCATCAAGGACCCTATTCTGGGATATCTGCATCCAGCTCTCCTGTAATTCTCTCACAGCTCAGGAAGAAAGAGCCCCCAAATGTCAGTCAATTAAGGTGTGCCTTCCAAGCACAACTCTGCAAAAGCACCAGGCAGAGCCAACCTGTGGGAGGGAATCGTGGGCAGGAACAGAGTTTCCTCTTCCCAGTCTTCACCTCAGAACTATTTAAGTTCTGCCTTCTGCAGGGCAATGCCTGCTGTTAGTTTTGCCTTACCCTTTTCTTTCAGGTTAATAGAAATGCACAAGGGATGCTTAAGGAGCATGGGCTGAAAGTGTACAGGACTTTGGCGTGGTGTGAGCAAAACTGCTTCCTCCCTAAGTCATGGTAAATCACCTCAAGGCAGTTGGGGATGAATAGATCAGCTGCAGACACATCCACCTTTGAGCCGCTCTGTCTCCAGCTGGAAATTAATGCATTGGTTTGAGATCGCTGACATGAAGTCTGGCCTGTGAGAGGGAAAACAGACATTTACATTAAAATAAAATCGAGTTCCGAGACCTAAGCAAGAGAAAGCCATCTGTCACCATCTCCTTCACACATCTGTAATAGGCTCTCCTACAGTCTCAGGCAGGGAATTCCTGATTAGTATTTGATAACCACAGAACAGTTGAGGGTGGAAGGGACATCTGGAAACATCTGGTTGGACAGCTGGTCCAATCCCCCTGCTCAGGCAGGGCCACCAACAGTAGAAGGTCCACTCTCAAATCATGCAAGCCAAAATCATGCATAATTAAATGAAATGAATTAGCAAAATAAGCATAAAATTCATTTTTCTTTTCTTACAGCAGTTAGAAGCAAGCCCTACTTCATGCATATCATACTAGAATTTTCAATAAATATTAAAATTTGTAAGAACAAGTACAGAAAAATATTTAGGAAGAAAAACCAACTGACATTTGGGAAGTTCTGCTGAGCGTGAGACCAAGGAATCCATGACATAACGTCCTCTCTCATCCACGCACCAGCAATGACCTGGCCAGGGAAGAAGAGCAGCTTTATTTTAAATGATGTATTGCAGTGTGCTTTGTTGCATGCTGGGAAGATTTTCAGTCTCAGCAGAACTATAGAAAGGGCTCAGTAAATCTAAGTCACAGTTAACTCTGCTATCCAGGGATCAGTAGACCACACCTGAGAGCAGTGGTGAGAATGGAAATATAGCAGCTCTGGTGAGACTCTCCCGTTGCAGCCCTATCCTGCAGCATATCATCTAATCCCAGAAATTTGGCATCACCCATGAACTCAATGAGCATGCACTCCATCTCATCGTCCTGGTCATGAATGAAGGCACTAAGAAATACCAGCCCCTGGAATGAGCCCCAAGGAACACAACTAGCAGCAAGCAACTGAATAGCTACTAATTTTTGTGCCCCAGTGAGCTGCCAGTTGAGTCCCTCACTCCAGTCAATTTTCCACACATCTTGTAGACCACATCACCCTTCTCCAGTTTGACTACAAGAATCCTGGTTTTCTACCTTTTTATTAGAATTCTTCTTAGTTTTGATTTGCTCAGACACCCCAGAGTATCTTGTTAGGAATTGCTCACCTGTGCTCTCATAGCACTGAGTTGGCTCCCAGTTTCCCAGGCCATCACACTGTGGGATGTAAGGGAGAAATCCCAGCTGTGCTGCTTCCCCAGCAGAACCTTTTGAAGAAAAGTGAGTCTGCCAATAGAAGCGCAGGACTACAAAAGAGAGGTAAAAGAAGGCTCTTAGTGTCCAATACAGGATATTTTAAACGTGTTCACAAAAACCTGAGTGTCCTCTGTACTTCAGAAGACAAATTAATAATTTTGCAAGTACATAAAGGCTGGTAAGTGCCCAGATTTTATATCTGCACTGTGTCATACATATGAGACAACTGAAATCAGCTCTTGGGTTGGCACGTTAATGACACTGATTAATTATACCTGCTGAGTTGCACTTCCTTTGCAGCAAAGTACACTTGCACAGATCCTGGGCATGACTTCATTTAATTAAGCTCTCATCTCCCTTTCACCCACCTGACCATGCAGCCAGCTGGACAGCAGAGTCACTGCCTGAGAGCAGTTTTTGGGAGTCCAGCACCTGTGACTCATAGGGCCGAGCAGAGCGCAGGAGGTCCCTGTCTGTGAGCTGTATCCCTTTTGCCATCAAGAAGCTCTCTCCAAAACCAAAGTGGGACTCATTTGAGGCTAAGATTAACTGCTCTGCCTCCTCCATGAATTTCATGGCTTTCTGCTTCACACCTTCACATATACCAGGACCTGTAGAGGCAAAGGTATATTAACAACTTTCATCTAAATCCAGTGAAGATTTTCATGCGAAAACTAGCTGGTCTTTTAATTAGCATCATCTGCTTCCTTCTGCACTAGCTCAGTTTTAAGTTGCATAATGAAGCAAGTGAAGGCAACTTGTCTTGTTAAATGCTTAGCTATTTAATAGCAAGAGTGTGAGAGTACCAGGAATCACCCAAATATTCTCCAAGTCCTAGGCCAAATGCTTGATGATTTTAAATTAAGTCTTCATTGGTTATAAACAGAGTTAATATGTCTCTACAGAACATTCCCTCAGTTGCTGCCATAAAAAACTGTGAATGATCGGAAGTGAGAGTCAGAAAGGAAAACAAACATCCCTTGGGTCCAGAGTGGCCACT